GCACGACGCTCTAACCAACTGAGCTAATAGGCCAAGTGAAATTCATATTTATCAACTCGGTTTACACACTCAATTCGCTAGTGAGATGAGTATTTCGGTCAGGCCAATTTGGATTGAGCGGATTCATACGGAACTGAGCATTTTCTAAGAAATTAAACTTTTGAATTTCCTAAAACTTTGATAAGTTTAAATGGGTTTGAAAAAATAAAATGGAGAAATTTTTGGGACCGGAATTGTAAAACCTTACATGAACTTGTACCAAAAAATGTCAGTAACATAATTTTTTTTTTTTTTTTTTGCTGAAACCATGGTGCAACTGTTTGAAACCACTAAAATCGTCTATTGATATCGGTTGAACTCGGTGTGTTCGTCTTGTGGCTCTGCTTATTCGCCGCCAGATTTCCTCCTCTCCCTGGGTGTTTTTTGTTATGTTTTGCTTCTACTGTTTGAACTCGGTTGCACACTCACACTGCTCATGGACTGCTGCTCTTTACATTTTCTCCTTTCATTTAATAAAGTCCATCACCATTATTAAAAAAAAACACTTATACTCTACAGTTATATAGAAAGGGAGGGCCAGGCTAAGAACATATTGTGGGGTGACTCATGTTGTTAGTTAACCAACAGCAACAGCTAGACAAAAGCAAAGCTCGAAAGGAACAAGGGGGGAAATTTAGGAGTAGGGGAAAAGAGGAAAGCAAAGGCTGCAACAATGGCAACTATTGGCAACTTTTGAACTTACCAAACTATAGCGACGGATTTGTTAGTGATCTCCCCACCTTGAGCGATTATGTAATTGGGATTTGGGAGGCATGATAATGATAATGAAGAAGAAAAGAAAGGAGTGGGGGAAAAGGTGTAACTAAAATAAGATTGGGAGGAGAATCTGCTCAGAGAAGAAGAGAACCGACCAGCTACTGAGAAAGACCACGTTCCTTCATTCATTCATTGCTATAATATGCCTGTGGCTGACCCCCTTAACCAATTCCTCATTCAGTCTTTTGCAGGCTCCCCCTCTCTCCCTTCTACTAATTTCCCCATCCGTTGAATTCATCCTACAACCAAGTTAGTTACTCGTATTCAGCACGTCTGTTTCGGAAAACATACCCGCAACACTGGAGCGAAAGTTTACTCGAATCGAATCGATTTGGTTTGAACTGTTCATTCTTTTCTGTATTCGAGGAAATCCCATACATGTGTAAGAAACTAATAGTCTTAAATTTCAATGATAAAAAAAACAAAATTTCGTTGTGCTTCAATATGACAACTACAATCTAATTAACTACCATCTAATTTGAGGCAATCCATCTGAATATCGGAAACTAAACTATTGTCTGCTTTTACTAAAAGCTCAATTTTTATCGAACAAGACGAATTTTTTCTATATTTAAATATATAGCTCGAACAAATTAAAACGGATAATTACTAATATGAACTCGTTCTCGGTCGTACGACTAGGACGAATGGAAGAGGAGGGCTTGTATTTACGCTGTCACAAACTCACAAAGCCCTAACCCCCCACAAGAGGACAAAGTGAGGAAGGGAGTGGTCCAAGTAGAGAGAAACTGGTCAAAACACCACATCATTCAATAGAGGCCCCCTCTCAGGGAAAGAAATAAAGAGGAGATTTGAATGTGGGATAAATAACAATTAAATTTTTTTTTTTTTTGAAGAAAAAGCCAGCAATAGTAGTAGCAGCAGGTAGCAGGGGAAGCAGCGGCCAAGACAAACAGCCCCGCCATTAAATAATATAATTGAAGAACAACACATTGAATAAAGAACGACCGAAGAGTGATGATATAAAATGGAAAGTGATACATCCAATCCAACGGCTACCTAGACTAACAGCCTAAGGGCTGAAGGGGCTATTAGGGGAAGGGATGCCCTAGATTTGTAGGGCTTCACCACCGCCCTAACCCTATACTATCTATCCTACACAAAGGTCAGGACTCGGGACTCAGGAATCAGTGCTTCTTTTGGCTTTTGTCTCGTTGTGTGTTTGGTGTCTTGTGTCTAGGGATGACAATTTCGACCTGACCCGTTTTATGCGACCTGTTTGATCATTTTGGGCGGGTCTGATCCGCCCCGTAGGCGGGGCGAAGCGGGCATGGGTAGTCTCATCGACCCGACCTGCCCTGACCCGCCCCATTCTCGACCCGTTTTTGTCTAAATCACATGTAATTTTAGTCAAATTATTTAGAATTTTTCTTTTATTGCATCATATTTTAGCTATAATAAAGTTGTAAATTAGTGAAAATCTCAATTTCTCCAATAATTTAACTACAATTGTCATAATATTGTTTGTTTTCTTAGTCTTATAATAAAAATAACGAATAAATCTAATGTTTTTCATATAAATTGCATTACCCATTGGGTCGACCTACCCCGACCCGCGACCCGTGATCAATTACCCGACCTAGACCGGACCTGCCACGGGGCGGGTCTGGGTACCAAGAAACCCGCACCGGACCTGCCCCATTGCCATTCCTACTTGTGTCGTGAGTTGTGACCGATGATGCCCCTTTTCAGTTTTAGGATTAGGCGGCCATCCTTCTTGTTGCTCTCCATTAGAGAACTTCTACCATTTAATCAACGTGGTATTCAACGAAATGCAATTGTATGATCTTCGAGGTTCAAACGATCATCATTCTTATAGAATTATGAGTTTGATGTTTTCATCAACTCAATACAGAACACGACTTAACGTATAAGGAGGGTTGTTGTAACATGATTCAAGAATCGAATTGCATGCTTGAAACCATTTCTGACCGTGCAAATCGTGTTGAACCTTTTGATCGTTACAGAGGGCAAATTCTTTTAGTTGCATATCTCAGTCATCACCGTCGAAGTGTCTCGTAGGATTTCCAACTTCATTTCACATTGTCTATCTAGAGCTACTTGAGATTGTCAAAAAGGAACCCAATTGACTTACTACTCATCACTTTCTCCCCTTCCATTTATCACTTCGGAACCAGAGATTGCTAGGGCATAGGCTCCAAGTTCAGTGAACTGAATCCTACCAACGGGTAAAGAAAGCACTTGGGGAGTTAAAATGATTCCTCTCTATCCCTTTCAAATGCTATTTTCTCAAGAGGGAAATCTTGTAGGACAGAACCATCTACCCTCCAGCAAGTTAAAGACTAGAGAGGTCTTTTCTTTTCTTTTCACTCTCCCCTGCAGTTGGTAATAATGATAACTACTATTATTTAAACACTATGGGTAACCTTCTAGCTCGCCTTTTCCCTCTATCCCCAAATCCCTCCTTTATTGCTCCAATAAGTGCTTTGACAATGCCCTAAAATCACAACCAGAAACACCACCAATGCACCAACCAATGGATTTGGTAAGTAAGCTGGATGGATTCCCCCTTCATGTCCCAAGTCTCCAACCACCATAAAAGAATCTGATGCTACCAAATAGTATTTTAGCTGTGACTGCTAGTACTTACTTGTAGGTATAATAGCCTTGCCATAAATATGCTCAATCCAACTTGGCTAGATTTCTCCTATAGCAAGAAAACCAAATAATTGGGGCTAGATTTGGTGGTGGGCTTGTGCCTTGTGGCCACTCATGCTATCAAATAGTTTATGGGTTCGATTATGTCATTGAATGAGGCGTGGATGCACGAGACTTGAACATTACAGACCTAACCAAACTCATTTAACATGCTAAACAGCGTTGGCATTGTTCGAAATATGCTACGAGGCTTATCAGGGTGCATTTATAGCGTGATGATGTGATTTGGATCATGTCCTTCCATGAACCATGATCTCGACACTCCTTTAACGCTCACGCACGACCAGAAGATCACTTAGGAGCACAATTCAACAACACCATCACAACTACACCCCTGGCTATCCTCGTAAGGCAATAGCAATTGAAACAATTACACATCTAACTATCATGAGCGGATGAAATCAAGCAAGGGCGCGATTCGACGACAACATCGTCATGAGCAACTTCACCCCCTAGCCATCCTTGCGAGACCATTGCTAAGTACTAACTTCGACGAACAGCAACGACATGGAGCATGTAGCTAACTGATGAGATAACCCATTTCAGCTCAATCCCAAGCTTAGAACTAACATTTCATTAACCTTAACTCATGCTAGATAGGAGAAAGAGAAGGAATATTTTCATATGGGCTGAGTTTTTGTTTCAGAGTGGAGGGTCAGTAAGTAGTGTTTAGTATAGAGCCTCACATGTTTGATCCAAAGGGTCTCACCCACCGACCACCACCAATCTTGTAGAAGATCAACAAAAGGGTTCTCCATCAAAAGGAGCTCCCCTTCCCTCACTCCTTCCTAACTGGCAAATTGAATAATCTTTGATTATATTAATCTCAAGATTAACTGTCTAATTACACCGTATTCTAAGCATATACCCAGTAAAGAATATGGATAGAGAGCTTTGGGATCAGACTGACGTGCAAAAGAAAAGATTTAATTCAATTCAGCAGAGAGAGAGAGAGAGAGCTCAGCTGGCGCCAATCTTTGGCATCATTTCCCAAAAACCCTCTCCCTCCCTCCCCACTACCTAACAAATCTCAAAAGAAGACAGAGCGAGAGATTCAGAGCGAGTAAAGAAATGAACAATGAAAAAAATGGGGGTTTCATCCTTCTCTCACCGGAGGCAGACCATGAACAGGGAAAAACAGAGATTCCACATGTTTCAATCAAACAGGATGAACAGATGAAGATGAAGAGTAGAGTGGAGAGTAGTCCTACAGAGAAATCCGTTATAGGGAGGTATCTCTTTTTTTGTTTCTCTTACATTAGTGTTAGCTTATAGCTCAATGCAACCACAAAGGAGTAGAGGAGAAAGAACATGAAACTACAGTAGAGCAATCGAGACGAGCGGAAATGGACAAAGGAGACACCGAATATTTACACAATGATAGACGAAAACAGACAGCCTAAGAACACCAAATAACATAACCCAGAACAGATAAATCTGCAAAAATGAAAGGGGTTTTTGGTTAAGAAGCAGCTGGAAAATGGTTACTGTGGTGTTACCCCATCTCGCTTGTGAATAAGCTTGTGATCCACCATTGCTCGATTCCCTCTGCTAAAACTGGGCTGTCCTTTGCTGTTGTAGCTGACCCCGCCGCCGTCTCTCTTCTGGGGCGAGGAGGAAGAGAAGAAACCAAACATTGACCCGGATTTGGACGATCCCATGAGGGAGCAAACGGGGACGTTGAGAACGGGGGTTACCCTGACGTTAGCTGAATAGGATCTCTCCATTCCTCTGTGCTTGTGCCTTGGACCGCCATTGAAGCTACTTGGACTACTGGAACTCCTCTCCAAGCTCTGGAACACGATTTTACCCGACGAATTCAGCCGCGGGCTGTCTATTGAGACTCCCCTGCTCTCGCCGCCTGACTCTCCTCCTGCTGCTGCGGCGGTAGTAGTTCTCCGCATTGGGCTTCTCCCGACTCTGGTTTCTCCTCCAATTTCAGAGGCTCGCGGCTTCACCATTCTCATCCTCGGCGGGTTCTGATTGCGGTTGAGGACGAACGGATTCGGACTCTGCAAAGGGTTGAATGTCAGGCTCAAATTGGAAGCGGCATTGGGCTTCTCCGAATCGAGGGAGAGTCTGGGGAGATCTTCGTGCTCGTGGCTGGATGACGAGGATGAGAGCGATAAGCGGGATGAAGAGAGGGAAACCGACGAGTCACAGTCCAGGTCTGATTTCAGCAATGGAAGACTCAGGGTACCGTCGAGCGAGGAATTGGAAGAGGAATTGCCGCAGCTGTTGCAGGATTTTGAGCTTCTATGGAGGAAATGCCTCAATGATTTCTGGTTATTGTTGGATGAAGACGACGAGGAAGAGGATGAAGAAGACGACGAGGAAGGAAACGACGCCGCCTTGGAGCTGTTGTTCTGGTAAAACTTCCTCAGCCCCAGAATCTCTTTCCACCGGCTCGAACATCGAGGCGCCTTCGGCGAGAACAAGTACTGGTCAGTTGTACTGTTGATCCCGCCAGGTAGCTCCATCTCCACGCTCCGGCCAGATTTCGCCTCCACTGTTGTCGCGATTCCGGCCAAAAACTCCGCCGAAGTTGCCGTCGACGACCAAGGCTTCGAGCTCGTGACCTGCATCGGCACCAGCTTCCCGTCGGAGAAGAGCTCGTCGGCGGGGAGCATGGCGACGGGGTCGTCGAGGCGGAACTCGAAGTCCGGTAGGAGATCTTGCTGCTGCTGCTGCTCCGGTTGCGGAATCGCAGCCACCGGAGGCGGAGGAGGAGGAGAAATAGCCGGAGCTGGCTTGGAGGGCGGCGGCGGCTGTTTGTGGTGGTGGTGTTTGGACGAGGAATCATCCTCGCGGCTGAATGAGATGCGAGGACTTAGCCAGCCGTAAGAGGAGTACGTCCCCGGCGGCGGGAAGCTCTCCGGCGAAACGCTGATGTTGTTGACGCAAGCTGAAGCCATTTTTTAATTTCCAAATGCTCATGCAAGAGAGAACAAAAATGAGATCCGGGTGGAGATTTGAATGAGTACTAGTGATGGCGGTGTCACATTGATCGGGAAATCTTGCCGGAGTTGAGATCTCGGCAGCGGGAGATCTAGAGAGAGGGAGAATTTGTTAGGGTTTGGGAGATGAACGGATGGGGAGTGGAAGAAGCTCTGAAATGAATTTTTCCGAAGTATGTGTTGTTTCTCGTGTGGGGAGCGTACTGACGGAGAGAGGGAGATCACACGGTAAATAAAAAGGAGCGGGATGAATTACAAGAATGATCACTGAACATTTTGGTCTTCGGTAGATTAGCCATCGAAGTAGAATGTTTAACAACATTGTCAATAAAGTTTGGAGTAACAAAATAACAGTACCTTCTCAGCTAATGAGTGAAATTATCATTAACAAAAAAAAAAGCTGGAATAGCTCAGTTGGTTAGAGCGTGTGGCTGTTAACCACAAGGTCGGAGGTTCAAACCCTCCTTCTAGCGCACTCCACATAATTTTTTCGTTGAAACAAAAAGGAAATTTTTAATATCGACCATGTGGAGTATAATTAAGTTTGTGAATGATATTCTTTTACTTCACATCCGAGCCCAATAAAAATCGTGATCAAACTTTATTCCAACCACTCATTATGAAATTATCATATAACTGTGTCCTACCCTTATATTATATATATTTGGACGGTTCATTTTTCATCCCCTTCCATTAACAGGCTTAAGAATCGAGCTAAACGTACCATGAAAGCTAAATCAAGGCGTTGACTAAAACCCTCGACTATTGAACAACTTTGTGTTTATCAACTAAATCATTCAATGTTGTTTAAATCCAAAACACCAAGTTCGTAACAGCCCACCAAAATTAAAAAGTCCCGCCACGACATGATGAGGCCGGTGGGGTTGGATCATAATGCTTGTAACTCGACTTGCATAGCCTAATAACCACGACGTGTGACAATTCATGTGAATAAATTTGCACCAAGTAAACTATTATATTAGTTATTCCAAACTGGTTAAAATTCAAAGCTCAATGACCAGTTTGTTTTGGATCTAAACTTCAACGATCATTTCAGATGATTTACTCGCTGGGTCTGGGTTTGGGCACATGACTTGCGTTTATTGTATTCTTTTGCTTTGTCAGGCTTTTATGCGTTGCCCAGTGCCGACTACAATTGAAAAGAAATGGTTTCACTTTCACCTTTGGTTGAACTTTGAGGGGGGTTTGGTCCGTTGAGTATAACTTTGGAGTTTTGTTAACATGAAATGAAATTTACTCGCTAATAATGCAAGAAGGCCGTTAAAATCCTATAATAATATGCATCACGTTTTACTGAAGAATTGAATCATTTGTTTTGCTAGTTGATTGACACATACGTTAAGACATTGTATATTTTTAGACGAATTGCATTTAACATTGTATACAATCGGTGCAATGACCAACCTACAAGTCACAAATGACTTAAAATGTGAGCGTACCAAAACCTACTATTAGAGTTTGGTCCTTTAAAAATGTAGGGTTGGTGGGACTTAATAAGCTCTAGTCTAAGCTTATAGATTTTCAAGTACAAGTTTAGGCTGGGGGACTCTATAGCTTAGTCGTTCTAACCATATACTCACCCACAATTCAAATTCGGCAGGACGTGGAAAATGGAGTTGGGTTGGCTAGTGTAGTTGATTTAGGAACGTAGCTAGGGTTTTCAAGATCTGTGGTGATGATGTGCACCAAGCAACAAACAAAAATGTCCCTTTCTTCTCGTGGCATGCCAATAGTGGAGATGTTCACTCGATCAAATCCATATTTTTATTTATAGATTTGAAATTGGCTCGATTTGATCACATCGTTAAGTTGGATCTTTCACTACAATCATGTTATGCAATTTTTAGTTATATTATGATCGAGCAGTTACGACTTCGGTATACATGATCAGCTGACCGCTTCACATCATTACATCCTCACCGACGACGACATTGGTATGCCCTTTCCAAGAAGAATCGTTCAAGTGACCACTGCATCTACTTCTTAGCCTCGGGAACTTCTTGTTATCCCCTATTTTGTTCCCCTCCTCTCAATCGACTCGCCTCCATATATAAAAAAATAGAATGACTGAGATACAAACATTTGGTAACTTGTTTCTTCCATGAAAATTTTCAGAGTTAGATCAAAATACTTTAATAGCCTAACTAATCATCACAATTTTCGTGCTCAAAGGTCCTTTTTAGTTTTTAGTGCCTCTTCATTTGCCCCCTCATGTCTGAATAGCTCCCATGGGAGGTTAGGCCCATATTCTATTTCCAATGGGCCAAAACAAAAACAGAGTCTGTAGTAAGAAAGCCTAGAAGCACCTCATATCATCGAATTTGTCTTCATTTCCGAAGAATCTTGTGAAGGGGTGAAGAACATATATAATTTCACTAGATAAGAGGATCAAATGATCTCTCATGAGTACCAATGTCTCACATTTTGAGCTTCTGAGATGTATTTTTATGGTTATTTTTGAAGGTGGCTGTCGCAAGAAGGGGAGTTCCATTACTCCTTAGACCACCTCTGCCCATGATGGCCATTCATTTCATTTGTATGCAGAGATTGCTACAAGTATGGAACAACAGTAATAATAATGTTGTTACTTCTACTCTTTTTTTGTTCCCAAGAAATGGCAGTGCTGCCCATGATCAATGTCGATGTAACATGAGACACTACAATGGGGGAACAAAATAATGCAAGTGGAAGGAATGCAAAACAATATTAGAAGTATATCTACTACTACTCATGTGTCCAACAACTTATATGTAGATGAAATTTTTTATATATTATTAGAAGCAATCCGAAATTATTTATATCTTGGGAATGACGATTCATGCTTATAAAAAAAATTATTATTTCGTTAAAAACACGCTTTCAAAGTTGTTTGCTTGTCAAAATCTCAATTGATTATCAGTTTCGGCATGTGAGATAATATTTTTCGTTTGTTGACTTCAAGATTCGAACATAGAGTGTGGTGGATATTCTCGACCCACATTACTACTAGACCATATCCTTGAGGCTGGCTGAGTGATTATTAAGTCGAGAACCATACTCAAATGTGTATGTCATGACTCCGATGATTTGGGATTGCAATATGATGATAGACTCCGATGATCAAATTAGATCAAAGGTATGTGAAAAATGATCTGAGCATATATAATGAACATTTTAAAGAGAGTGTGTCTACTACATAGATACCCAACAAGGTGTAAAATGTTGAGTGCACTTTTGCCCATATGTGTAGGCTTTGAAACAACATTACTCGACTCATCGAAATACACAAAGTAAGAAGCCCTTTCAAGATCAGGATGATAGTCGACATGGATCGAGCCACCATTAAAAGAATTTTATATACAATCCCACATTTCATCGACTGCACAAACGATCCACAACCATGTGCATTCAATCAAAACTTCGAATTCAATCAAAACTTCGAATTCAATCAAACGAATTGGGATTAAGGGAGGGAGAGAGATCAGGTGCGTATAATAGTGGTCATCAGTCTCAATGGAGGAAGTATCCATTTCGATGCCTCGGAATTGGATTGTCACACAATCATCATATCTCTCTTTTCCCCCCTTCCCCTCCCAAATCCCAATTTCATCCATGAAATGAAACGCAATTTTACCACAAAACGTAACGAAACAAAAGAGAAACAGAAGAATTGAACAACAGGAATACGGAGATGCAGACGTCGTGAATTTCAAACAGTGGCAGATCCGATTGTGAACAGAGAAAGGACCAGATGGCTCCAAAATTGCTTTCCTCAGAACAGGGGAGGATTTTGGATTTTTGGTTAGGGTTGGAAGAGAGAGACGAGGGAGAGAGAGAGAGAGCACTTCCCATTTGGGGATTTTGGGAATCTATTGTAGCTGGACTGAAAATGAAGAATGAGATCGAGAGGGATCTCTGGTTTTATCTTGTTTGAATGGTGGGTGGCTACTACTGACTCTGAGCACTGGCTTGGGTCTGAGTCGAATTGTTTGGGCCTGCAAACTTTCGGCCCAAAGTCATGCGATTTTAATTGTATGGGCCTTGGAAGTTTCGGCCCAAATCATTATCTTGCTTATTAAGCACATATTAGTAGGGATGACAATGGGTAGGGTCGGGTGCGGGTTTACCCTATACCAACTCCTAACCCGCCGGGTAGAGCCTTCTAAAATACCCGACCAAATAACCACCGGGTATGAAAATTATATAACCATACCCTACCCACCGGGTAACCACGGGTATTCGGGTAACCATGGATACGAATCCTAAACTATGAACTTATACATGCACATACATATTGTTGTCCATTAAAAATTCTCAATACTTCTAATTTTTCTAGTTTCAACAATCCACACAAATAAAAACAACAAAAACATAATAATTGTTCTTGCTTCTACAATCCACACAAACATAATAATCGTCTACATCTTCATCATCAATAATGGTAGCTAAACCAAATTTCTCAAGCTAAACTAAATTTCTCAAGGGAAATTGACCCTTTGGTTAGCGGGGCGGGTATAACGGGCGGGTATTATCGATTACCATACCCGTACCCTACCCTTTATTTTGAAACCGGGTTTTACCCGTACCCGCCCCTTAACCCGTCAAAACGGGTAATTACCCTCGTTGACCGGTTACGGTCGGGTAGGGTACCCATGGTTACGGGTTGGATTGACATCCCTACATATTAGTCATCAACGAAGTGTTTAAGAAGCATGAGTGACGAGTCTACCTAAGGATCATGAATGAAACATTACCTAAGGATCATGAATGAAACATTATTTTTATTTGGGATGACAATGGATATAGGATCACGAAAGTAGCCAGCCGAGTACAAACATGGTAAATCTTCACTCATTCATCGTATGCATATCCTCCTTTTTTTTTTTAACATTTCATTTCTAATAATTTTTTTTAATGAATTTTTCTGAATATTTCTAATAATTCAAAGTAGATGCTAAGCCTGTTAATTGTTATAGCGGACGGGTGATATTAAAAATTCGGATATAATCTTTAGACAAAAAGTTTTTTTTTCTACGTCTTTAACGACCCAATCTGTACATTTGCTACAACTTACAAGAACTAGTCATCAAGGCGTTTTCAAACCCTTTTTGATCAAACGTTAACTATGTAAGGATATGACTGTGAAGGGTAAGCACCCTTTACCCCCAAACGATAGGCAGCAAAATGACAAGCAGAAAAAAAGGATCTGTCATATTATTTCACTGCGCATAAAACTCATGCGGGAATAGGTAAACAGGTTCCCTAATCATACGAGCAGACTTCAAGAGGTAAAAACAGTACAAGTAAAGCTAGATAGGCACGCGTATAACATAGTGAACAAGCCAGCTACATTTTCAAACTAGCTATACCATAAACATTGCGATAAATCGAGCCGTTCAGGGAGGTGGCGGAATGGAGGGGACCGTTGGGATGGTCGGAATGGATGGAATCGTTGGGATTGTGGGGATCGTCGGAATCGTTGGAATTGATGGGTTCGATGGCATCCTTGGAATTGATGGTATCGATGGTATCCCGGGAATCTGAGGGAACGAGGAGCCACCACCACCACCACCTATCGTTGGAGTAGTGGGAACTGCAGGGACGATGGGGATTGCACCCGGAGGCAGAGCAGTGGGGATAGTTGGCGTTGTGCTCGAAGGCAGGGTGTCTGAAGGATGGTGAGGCTTCGATGGCCGGTGAGGGTGATGTCGAGCCTCGGTGCAGTGTTCGAGGAAGGCGACTGCAACGAAGAGAACGAGGATGAACACAAGAGGGGAGCCTCGGAGTGCCATTGCTGAATGTTTTAAGTTTGCTGTGAGCTGTGAAGGGTGAGTGAGTTGAGGACTGAGGAGCGTGTATTTATAATGGAGTGACGAGAAAGAAAAGAATAGCTTTTCCAATACGGCAAAGAGATCAGAACGTTTGCGTTGGGGCAGGAAGGCTAAAACGCCCTTTGGCTATTTCGTTTGTGTTCGAGACTTGACCGTCGCTGTAGAAAAACGAACGGTCTGTTGCCGGCAGGGATTGCCAGTAGCAAGTCTTCTGGCGAAGGTTTGACTTGGAGTCTAGTGTTTTTGTGTGTGTGTGTAGTCTAATTTCTATTCCCAGCGACTTGGTTCAAAGCACAGTGAAATGGACATGGGGAGACCTGTGGTTGAGAGGTGCCGTGGTGAGCATGCAAGATTACATCTCAAGGCAGTGAGTTAAACGTCTATTTCGGGACTATCTATAATGGCTACAGGTCTTTACATTACCAGTCAACGAACAGCTAAAAACAGGCAGAAGTTAAAAAAAAAGGGTTATACTTTATGGTTGTGAAGTTGCAGGTCCTGCTTCCAAGATCCGAGTGCAGAAAGCTCTCCAGCAGGGGATTTGTCTGATGTATCTTGCTCGATGAAACGCCAGGCTGGGAAATGGGAATACAGGAAACAAACACAAGCTGCCTTGATCTTTCAGTTTCTCCATAGACTTCTTTGGTGTGCTCCATGGCATCCAGGATATGACATCGATGGGGGTTTATATGTGTTCACGGTGCGCACTGTTACTCGGAATCCAATCAACTAAAGCACCAAACTCGTCGTTAATTCATGATTGTTAGCATCTTCGTTTCCTCCGTCGTATAGCAAAAACTTACGAACATCAGACGGAGGAAATGGAAAATGTCAATCGTGGGTCATAAGGCGAGTTTGGTGCTTTAATTCACAACAAGGAAATCTAACACCTTGGCCAGGAATGCTTCCATTTCTGCACCATGACCGTTTCAGTTTGATTTAATAACAAAAACGGAACAGCTACTCTACAAGAGAGATTATAAAGTGGAAGGAACCGCTATTAGATATGTATTTGTGCATGTATAGCCTAAAAGTAAAGCCTCCAAGGCTCCAGCACTCTATTAATCTCATTTCCATAAGCAGGCGTCGATCTAACCATATTGCCTACTCAATGAATGTAAACAAACTCTGTCAAGTGGCTTTGCACCAGTCAAAGGATTTCACAATTTGCAATCAACCTATTTTGATGTCCAACTCTAAGAGCAAAGGATGAACTTTAGCTGGCCAAACAACAGCTCGACTACGTTATACCTTAGCTACAGTAAGTGGAAAAGAGAAGTGCCTGCGTGTTAATTGTTCGACTTCTGCGAGATCAGCTTACATGTAAGAGTATGTATTACCTAATGTTAAATTCTATGATCCTTGGAATATTTCCTGATGCAAAGGAGTTTCGTTTCACGAAGGTTGATGAGGACACATAGGTAATCTCTATTCTCTACAACTAAAACCAGCTCTCATCCTTGTAACAAGTAACAACTCAAGCTGATCATGTACCAGAAATAACTACAATCATAAGAAAACCATCTCAAAAAAGACTTGAAGACAGAATGCACATCAAAGTTCCAAGACTCACTATGAACTAGAGACTATGTACCTTTCGATAAAAAAATCAATCCAATGTCAGGAAGTCCCCGAGCCAGTTTTCTCTGCAAATGGGAAACAAAGTAATCAGTTGACAGCAATGTGATTGACAAACACAAACTAAATGCAGTGAAACAAGAACAACAGTTATGTTATGGCCTCTCAACTCCCATAAACCGCAATCTTCACTGCTCCGTTTCACCTAGAAGAAGGTACCAAATTTTCCCACCTCTATAAGGGTTGAGGGCTAACATTTCCAAGTCGTTCAATCCGCAATCCAGGAAAAAAACCATGATGCCTAGTCTCATCTATATCATCCAAACCAACCAGCTCGGGCAAATTGTAGTAAAGCAAGAATGCAAACAAACACCACCCTTAACTCTAATTAAGCTACCCACTGGAGCTGGGAACTCCAACGAATCCTGAGTAAATAGAAAAGCAGATACCTTGCTGCATTCCCATAGACAGCGCGCGATCCATGTTATCAATGCGCCGCTGTATGGCTCTGAGCAGAGAGTTCAGGGACGAAACTCTCTTTCGGACGGAGGAAATCTTCGCAGCGTGCTGCATTATGAACGGCAATGGCGCGTCTTCCAGCAACCGATCGAGCTCTGTCCAGATTTAAAGAATGTCACAGTCAGCAGTTTGTATCGAAATCCTTAATCAAGTGGGAGATAAAGAGAGGAAATGCTTAATTTTTACCTCCGGTGAGGCGATCGATGGAGGAATTGAGCTGGTCTTGGCTACTGAGCGTGGTTCGAGCTTGCGAATCGAAGTCCCTTATCACGTTCGAGAGAATCGTCGATAAGCCCTTGGTCAGCGTATCGCTGCTGCTGCTGTTCTCGAGCGTGCCGTCGGCGCCGTCTGGTTGGGATTCTTTGGGATCTGTTCTATTGTGATTTGTTGTGCTGGTAGGAGGGACTGAATTCGTCACCGGTGGTGTACTGACGACGGTGCTCTCCTCGGCGGGATGGGCGATGGCCGGAGGGTCCTCCATTTTGCGGAACTGTGGTTTCGAGGTGAAGCTCTGAAGATACTCGGAACTTCTATTTCTCGACGCTATCCCCCATGCGAAGAAATCGTCACCCAGGCCAACGAGTTTAATTTGGTGGGAGGCCCATTGCAATTGGATTACACCTCCGGCCCAATAGCGCTTCCGTACCTGATACGACGCCGTATCTTGCACATTGTGTTGTGTAAGCCGTAAGGTGTAAGCGGCCTACGTCGGGAAAGACGTTAATACCCCCAGTTCTCAAGCCGGAAACGAGACGGATTAGGGTTTTCGAAGGACTATATAAACACTCTAACAAGCCTCACTGTTTTTTTCAGCTCTCAGTCGCAATCCCCTTTCCGTCGTTTCATTCCATCGAAATCCTGCTGCTGCGGGAAGAGAAGGCGGAGCTGAGCTACCTGAACCAAGATGAGGGCTAAGGTTCGTCCGTCGTCACAGTTACTTGTTTTCAACGATCTTGTGGTAGTCTGCGGTCTTGAGGCTTCGATTGTTTGCTGTTTATCGTTTATGGCGTAGGATAGTGTTCTATGTCCTCGTTGCCTGTCGAATCGTTGTCTATTCTCTGTTCACCATGTAGGTAATCTGATGAAATGCCGATGCATGACTGTAGATTAACAGTAGAGATTACTCGATTTGCAGTACTTAATTTACTAGAAAGAACTCATTAGGTTGTTTTGAATTGAGCTTTGTGACGAGCGATTAGCTGAAACCGGCCTGTTTATGATGGTTTCCGCCGATTTCATGGCTTTATTTTGCCGCAGCTCCATTGAAATTGCCTCTGGTATCTGGTAGTTTGCTGCTATTCCTCTTCTGGTTGATTGATTGATGTGTCTTTGTTTGGCACTGAGTTGATTGAGATTCCCTGAAATTAGGTATTGCTGGACTGGAATAATTATTTCCGTTGTACTCTCACTTGATTGCGGAATTGTGTTGTTTTGTTTTGTTCATGGTGCACAGTGGAAGAAGAAGCGTATGAGGAGGCTGAAGAGGAAGCGCCGAAAGATGAGACAGAGATCCAAGTAGTCACTCTGCTGCTCAGCTAGCTGGGAGATCTATTCCCTTTGGAGTTTGTTCACTTGTGGACGTAGTCTCGGGGATAAGGCTGTTTTGATCTTTCAGTACGGCGTTTACTAGTATTATTCAGTAGTTGTAAGTCTCCTTTTTACATGTTAACCTCTGCTCTACTGTAGGGTTAAAACATTTCGAACCGTATTATCCTCTGCATTACAGTTCACCATCTCTTCGTTGTGTGGATGGTCTTTGAACAATTCCATAGTGTTATTTGGTTGTAGCACCTGCGGCAATTCAAGTGATCTACCCTTTGATGTTTTGCGGCAACATCTCTTTCTTTGCACTGGTGTATCACTTTTTGTTCTCTACTCTGTTGGGTATGATCTAGTTGTGGCATGCTTTTGCTCCATATGCTGTGCTTATGGAAGAATGTCGATCCTTGTAGATTGTTGCATACATCAGAAGATTAGAAATCACAGCTAAATACATATAGTAGAGATTACATTTTCAAGTTAGCACACTCAAATGAATGATGTATCATTGTGGAAAGGAAATGCCTTCTGTTCTGCCAAATGTTGAAGGCAGAACCAGTAAATCCACAGAATTATTCATCCGCTTTACAAAATCAACCAGATCTAAGCTCACCACCTTCTTCAAATTTGTCTTCGTTGTTGAGATACCGAGATCTTTGATGTTAAACATTCAGCCCTTCGAGTTCGAGGTCATACTGCATGACAAGCCTCTCCAAGGTATTCAACTTCACCACTCCCTGCCCATACAGCTCCCTCAAGACTTCGGCAGCCAACTCCTTCTCCCCTTCGTGCACAATCCCTTCTACCAAAATCGTGTAAGTCGTCTCATTAGGCAAGTACCCTTTCTCCACGATCATCTCAAAGACCTCCAGTGCCAAATCGGTCCTCCTGCACTTGCAAAACCCTAGCACGAGTGCATTGAAATTGTCCACCACAGGCTTGTACCGGCTGTCCTCCAGCAGCCGGAAGATTTCCAACGCCTCGTTCAGCATCCCTTCCACACACAGCCCCCTGATCAACGATGAGTATGTGTGGGAGTCGGGAGTGAAACCATCTTTAGTCATCTCGTACAGAAGCTGGAATGCCGCGTAGGTGTTCCCTTTTCTCGTCAAGCTGGCGAGCACCCCTTTGTAGAACTCGTGAGTGGAAGCACTCCGCTTGTTCCCCAACGTTTTGATGATGGTGAAGGCTTCCTTCACCTTGTTCCCACCTTCCTCGCATAGCACCGCTATGGCACTGTAGGTTCCATCATTAGGCATGACATGACGATACAACATCTGATCCAAACACTTCACCACCATCTCCACCATTCCCTCCTTTGCCAAACGAGCGATGATCGGATTGTAGGTCGCAGTTGTCGGCCTGTGAGCCGCCCCCTTCGTCATTTCGTCGAGCACTTGGAGGGCATGCTCTGTTCTCCCATGCATCGCCAGCGAGCTTATCAGTATGTTGTAAGTAATAGCAGAGGGAGTCCTTTCCTCCCCATCCATCTCTGCTAACAACTCATTCGCCTCCTCCCACCTCCCTTCATAACACAAATTCCTCAACAGTATGTTGTAGCTCACCACATTGGGACTATACCCTTTGGAAGGCAGCTCCCTGAACAACCGAATCGCGTCGTGAATCCTCCCTTCCTTGCACAAACCAGTCAACAGCACATTGTAGCTGACCAGATTAGGCATTCCTCCTTTCGCAATGATCTCATCCAGAAGCTTTATTGCCTCGTCCGCTCCTCGCTCCTTATACGCGGTCTCGAGCAGCGACGAGTAAGTGAATGCATTGGGGACAAGCCCTTTCTGTATCAACCTGTCGATGAACTGCAAGCACTGATTCAAATTCCCCTGCATACACAGCCCTCTAACAAGTGAGTTATAAGTTGTACTGCTCGTAGGGAGTCCGAATTCCTCCATCTTCTCCACCAATTGCATCGCGTGCCCAACATTTCCCCTCTTGCAGAGATTGTTGACCAGGAAAGTGCAGGAAGCTGCGTCAGGGATGATCCCGGAGTGGATCACCATCTCCATGACTCGAATTGCTTTCTTGAGCTTGTCCGATTTGCAGAGGTCGTACATCAATTGGGTCGCTTTAATGACGTCCGGCTTCTGCCCCTTGGCCACCTTGTGCTCCAGATTGTAGAACTCTTCGGTTTGTCTTGATTCCTTGCTTCTCGCACTGGGATTTGGATTGGGATTGTTCGGAGAGTCCCTCCAGTTGGGTAGCGTCAAGACGGAATCTTTGGGGGAGATTGTGATCTGGGTCGAAGCTAAAACTTTGGTGAAGGCCCTGTTGAGGGAGAAGGAGTGGAGATTCGGGACGTGGGAGAAGAATCCGCAGGAGATCGTCATTGAACCGCCGGTGGTTTCTTGGCATTGGGTTGGTACAGTCGAAACTGGGTTTGGCAAGCTCCTCATCATTCAACTAATTTGTAAGAGTTGAAGGGATTTCTTAGGTGGTACAGACGCAGGAGAAGTGTCACCGGGTTAGTGATCGGCGGTGGATCGACGGCGAAGTGTTATTCTTTGCGGGTAAAGGTTTGGAGACGTTGAGAAGCCTCCGTCCATTCAATCAGTTTTCGTGTTATCCGAATGATATTTTTTGTGGGCTCATGAAAACGCCACGTTTCCGGGTTCGGGTACATCGCTTGGATCCCGTTTCAACTTTGGGCCTCGTAGGATTCACGGGCTTCGAATAGACGGAAGAGCTCATAACCGGATAACTACCCTGTGCAACTGTTCAATCCGAAACGAATTGTATCGAATCAAATTGACTTTTGTACCAACCCTGTCCAACCGAGTATAATAAGATCTCATCCTTAATTGCATAAATTTTATGAATACAAAAGAAAAATGGATAGAATATTATTTGGACCAAACTAAAACGGCTCGAATGCACTGTTGGTATGGTCCTTGGTCCATGGAAGTCTCTTACAATTGTTAGAGGTAGGCCACGATTCTGTCAAAACTAGTCTGAATCGTACCAAATAGATATTTTGACAGAATTGAATCGAATCAAATGTATTTCAATTAATTTTCGATCATGTGAATTTTAAGAGTATGAAAAAGATGGATCAACGTTGAAATTGGATCGAATCGAATTGAATGGACCATATTGGATCGAACCGAATTGAATGGACAATATTGGCTTTTGGTATGGTTCTCGTCCTCTGTTTTTCTTTCCTTTTGATTCGGTGATCTCGCTTCAACCGGTTCTGAACCGAATCCATCAATGCCCACCCCTAATTCTTGATCACGATTCTCCTGAATTTGGTCCGATCCAGTCCAGACCGTTGCACACCTCTATCCTCGACATAGGAGACGAGACCATGTGGCGTTTACTCCGAGTACACCTGTCATCCTCGAGGCCCTTGACACGTGCCACGTATGCCGCCTCAGAAACACTATATATACGTATGAAAGAAACGAAAACCAGGCGAGAAGGAAGATATTACAGGCAGCAACATGGCGAAGAGCAAGGAAGATATCAAGTACGCGACGGCGCAGGCGAAGTTATCTGAAGACGAGGCGCTGCGGATTCGGTACAAGCACGGCACACCGTTGGAAGGCGGCAAGATAGCTGACTCTCAGCCGGTGGAATTGTTCTCTGGTGCTCATAGAGTCGCCGATGCTAACGCTGATGAAAGGGATCCCTCCGGCGGTGGTCAGTCCCAGCTGGATCGCCCGCGTGGCGGTGTCGCCGGGGAGAAAGGTACCGATCTTCCTACCGGAGCAGGGTGATGGTAAATCGGGATAACTTTGCCGGCTAGCTGAGTTATTAGTTCAACTGTCTTTTCCCTTGTTTGGGGTTTGTTATCGAAGTAAATAAGTGTTTGTTTGTGACAATTACTTGAATAAAAGAACATCTGCACTTGTGATCATCAACAATTGATTCGCAATTATATTAGTGATAATTAACTAATTGTGATATGTTATATCTGCTGAGTAGGTTGTAGACGTAAGCATGTATTTATACGATAAATTATATAAATTATGTTCATATGATTATGAATATATACGTACAAAAAAATGTTTATAATAAGTACTTATTTGATCATAATTACTATAATTGATGTTAAAGTTTATAGCTATCTAGTAACCTAACAGATAAGTGGGCTACTACTAAGTGCAATAGTTAACCAGTTTTTATACTTAATTAATTTCTTTTATAGTAAGTTAAGCAGACTTTATAGACACAAATTTGACAATAAAATTAATTTTCCGAAAAAAACCCTAATGAAAAGTTGCGGTCATATATTTAATCAAAACCGTAATTTGCAACTGGCACGTGAGGAGTTCGTGACACGACTGAAGTGGCGGTGCTCGGCTTGCCGCGTTGACGGGAAGTATAAATAGCGGAACCCGCCGTCGTTAGCTGCCGGAACGTCCTCGTACCCTCCCCAATACGGATTCCAATTGGAGCGGGAAACCTCTTTTACAGTCATGAAATCGTCGAAGCAAGGGGCGGCGGATAACAGCGGAGGCGTATCCGGTCGCGTACAGCGCTCTCGGCCTCGGCACTAGGTCAGTTCAGTTCGGTTCCTGCCCAATGTGATCGGGCTTTAATTTGTCCTGCTTCTCGTTTGGTTCCCCTGAAAAATTCGATCGTATTCTTTTCCGTCAGATTTCATGACGGTAAAGGTTGGAAGTGGAAGTCGACAGACATCGAGATACAGCGAAACGTCCTTCGATCCATTTCTTCGTTCCTCGATAGCATGACGCCGGATATCTCCCGCCGTAGTGTAGTGAAGGCCGGCTTTCAGGTGGCGTCAGAGCCTTTATTGATTCAGTGATGCTCAGTAGGATCTTTAAGTAATTGATTTTGAGGTGTTCTCTTTCAGGACTTAGTGGGCGATATTGTTGGAGCGATGGTATGGATTCTTCAGTACAAAAGTCAAGCTGCTTTGAGCTTAGCCGCAAATGTTGTATTGAAGTTGATGAACACAATCCCTAACTCAATCATGAGACCGTATTTGTTCGATCTTGTGCGTCCTTTGTTGTGTGGCTACTCTTCAGAAGTGTCGACCTGCCATTGCATTTGAACATTGATCCTCTCTCGCTTGAATGTGAAAGGGGAACCAATGGTTTGGGAGATGCTGAATGATTCGAAATCTGTTCCTAGCCTTGTGAATTGTTTATCTGATGTTCCTGATGATGGTGATGTTGCGAGTATGGAGTGTTTCCTGGAGATGAATTCTCTGTTGAGCACAATACTGCTTCGGTGGCCTCGATCTCGATATTGTGTTTGGAGCAATTCGAAATTCATGGAGGTTTTGGGTATTATGATCCAGAGGCCTGATTTTTCTGCTAAGATTGCTGTGATGAAGTTATATGCTGGAGTAGGTATAATGTCTGCACATTTTAGCATGTTGACCTTTCACAACTCTGAAATCTGCTGGGTGAATGATCAATTTGATATTTGGTGTGGCAGCTTTGTGTGGTAATGGTGCCAAGAAGCTTCTACAGAAAGTAGAAGTTCTGGGGGTGATGGTTTCCTGTATGGACAAGGCATACCCCATTTCGTTGTGCTTAGAAGGGTTTAGACTTGCGAGATGTTTGGCGGTAATAACTTCTCAACTAATTGTTTTAAACCAGTATGATTGAGACTCTTGGACTATTTGAGTTATTGTTGGATGGTGATATGTTGTCTAGACAAACGAAGAGGGATACCCAACAATGGCGAACTTGTTTTGTGAACCCATTATTAAAGCTGTAATTGATGGGATGAGCAAATGGTCGTTGCATTTGAGGAAGATGGATGACGATCAACTATCTTTGTTGGTGGAAGCTTGTCAACTGGCTTGCATACTCCGTTGGGGAGGGGAGCATCATAACTATTTTTTGGAAGCATGAAATCTGTTATGTACTCCTTCTTCTTCTTTCTGAAGATTATATGGATGTTTCATCTCAAGGTTTCTTGTCATTGGAGGAACAAATGCTTGTGGCCAAAGAAGCTCTTGGCACTGATTTTTCGCATTACTATTAGGCCTTATATCTGGGATATTCTTGGATGGCTTGCAGCTCATTGTACTAACGGTATAAACCATGAACTGTCTGTCTAGCCATGAAGGTCACATCAACATCCTCATACATCTGCATGGTAATATTTGTTACTTTGGGGATATTCTGTTTTATGGACATTTCCAGATACTGATATAATCATGTCTTCGTTGTTACTTCTAGCTTGTCTTTTATGGAGTCAATTCAGAAAGGCGGCATAATAGTAAATGATGTCGCAGAAACTTCGAAAGGTAGATCTGCTACAAGGGCAAATCTGATGATGATATATTCTCCTTGCAAGTACTTCGTATCAAAGGCTAAACAAACATTGGCTGAAATTCTAAAGTCTGGTGGAAAGGATTATCCGAAACAGATTTTACCTAATCTAAATCTTATTTCGTCCAAGAAAGTTTTTGGCTCACCTGACCTACACGCAGAAGGTGTCAACTTGATGGCTGTGACATGTTACTGCGGTCTGCCACTGTATCAAAGCCATATAGTAAAAATTGGGGGAGGTACCTGTTCTAATGGCTTTTATAGGATGGTGCATGAAACATAAGGTTCCTGTCAAGGGACTGGGCCTTGTTCATCATGGTCTGATATCTAAGAGACTTTGTTGTTGGGAGGATAAAGAAGATTGGGAAGGTGATGAAATGCTTCTATTGTGTGGCTTGTGGGGACGAGAGGTTTTGTTCTCTGAATTTTGTCCGAATGCGGATATATCTCATGGGAATATGGGTCTCACAGAAGCTAAATTTGTTGGAACTCTTCAAGGTATATGTATGTCTTCTAGTTCTCCTGGACTGAAGTGGTACAGGGCATACATGCTGAGTTACTTTGGGCTATATGGTTTCCCTTGTAAATTTGGGCAATGTATTGAGAGAGCGTTGCATGAAAATGAAAATGCAGATATGCAAGTCATTCTAAGAAGCGGGCACAGTCTGAGGGTGCACCGTGTCATTCTTTCTATCAGGTGTCCTTCGTTGTTTCCTCCTCGGAATCAGGCTTGCAAAAGCAGGAAGTGGAGTCGGGCAAGGAAATTCACTTGTCTTCGCATGTCGGAAATGAAGAATTGACCAAACTTTTGGAATATGTATACTTGGGATAACACGCTCAGAAGAAGACATGTGAAGAAATTGAAGATTCTTGCAGAACATTGTGGTTTGCAACCCCTATCAATGGTGCTGAGCAGGAGCCGTCCAAATTGGGGATCCCCTTTACCATCTTACTCCTGCTGGTCAAATGTTCTCGTAAGGATTTCAATCCTTTCATCCCTTCAGTTACGAATTTGTCTTACTTTTGTGGTACTTGTCTTACTGTAGAATACATATGCTATAGAGTGATTATATGTCGTAAGGAAGGCCCGGACGTGAATTTATCCCTTAAACTGCTCCGGCTCGCTGAAAACTTATTGCTGTGGAAACTCTGAAGTAGCCGCTGATCGTCTGGCTCCTGCATATCGCCAGTTATGCCAGTCTGGGGTTCTCGAATTGTTGGATGAAGGTCTGGCCGGAATGGTTCGTGCTGCTTCTGTTAGAATCTCTCAATCGCATAAAGACAAGGATAGGTACCGTTGTCTCCTACCTTTGCCCTGTCTTCTATTTTCTAGACATACTTCCGACGTAATCAAAGAATAGAACATGTCATTGATTGAGTAGTTGCCATTTTATTCGATGATTACAATTTACTTCTATTTAGAAGTGGTGCCTATATCATACATCAGCATCCTATGTATCAAATTAAATGTTTCTTTCCCTTTATCTAATGCTGTATTGTGTGTTCGTATATTCCTATTTCCTTGTCAGGCAGAAGGTGAACCAGCTTCCTCTCTTAGTTGCAGCCTAGTAACACCGGCTGCAAGTCTCTTACTACGTCCTGCATCGAGATCGTGGAGTCAATGTCTTTCTGCAAAGAAACAATGTGAAAAGCCGTTAGTTCAAAAGTTCGAGTCCATTAACATCAGTTCTTATTCTGCCTCAAGTCTCCACTGAACAAGAGTATTATCATACCTTGGTCACAATGGTTACATCCAAGGAACACCTCCCGAAAGGCACGACATTGATGGCCAGCACAGTAAGGTGAAGTTTCTCCACTTCCCTAACTACTCTGGCTACCAGACCCTGATGTTTCTCGCAGTGAATTCTGATCAGCACGTTCTCATCCAGGCCTCTCGCTTCGACTTCCGGGATCAGAGTATCATCACCAATGCGACTCATGAACTCCTCTCCAATCTCCACCTGGGACTTCTTCACGAAGATTATGGACTCCACCAACGTCCTCTTGGCTTTCTCGTGCAGCTCGTTCACCCTCTCCTGGAGCTGCTTTACGTACTTGATCGCCTCTCCCAGCACCGTAGCCTTGTCTCCCTGGAAAAAAACAAGCAATCAATCAGCAATTGAACCCAGATTAAACCGAAGAACACGATCGCATAGACGGAGGCAGGGTATTACCTTCTTCAGGTTTGGTATGTTGGCAGAAAGAGCGATGAACTGTTTGTTCAAATGCTCCCTGCGCTTCCTCTCTGCAAGTATATGGTGCGGCACGGGCAAACCGCTTCGACCACTTCCTGAACTGGAAGCCGCTCTCATCGGCTGTTCAGGGGCTGCCGCATTGGCATTGTACTCCGACGAAGGATGTTGGTTGATCAAAGCAGACAGATCGTCGAACCCATCAGAGCCTTGCTGCGAAGGATCGTGTCCGAATGGCATGAAGCTACTCAAATCCATTGGCGGCTGGCGGGTAGAGGTTGTTACAGTTGTGATTCCAGAGGTGGGAAGACAAGGGATCTAGCTGGTCGGTTTTGAAACTTCCTGGAAAGCAGCTCCCTTTTATGCAGAGGGAGGAAAACGCGTGCAAGTAAGATCCGATACCGAGAAATCTAACTCAAGATAAATGAGGGAGCGAGGCTTTAGCTAGATAGCAACTGAAATTTAAAAATTATGTTGCCTGTTTAGCGCGAGGAGATAGAAAGATGGCGGCAAGTCATTCTTTTTCCCTCCTTCAGCCATCTCTGTCAGAGGTTTGATTACTTCCAAGTATCTCACTTTTTGGCGCGTTCCCGGGTTTATTTTATTAAAAGATTCTGCCTTTCTTCTTCTTCCTTCCCTATATGGAGTTTTGGGGAGTTCGGTCTTGGCATGTTCGAGCAAAGGAAAGCAAAGATTGGGGATGGCGACAGTGCATATAGAAAATACAGGGGCCAGCCTGGAATTCGAGGTAAGGGAAATTCTCCATTGTTTTTTTTTCCCTTGGTTCTTTTCTGCCACATTGTGCAACCTGACAGAGACAGACACTTGGCTTGGTTTTGGATTTGATTAATCAGTAATCAAACACAAGGCAATTGCCTTGTTATGTGTTCAATTTTTTATTCATCTTGGTCTTTTTCTATTGGGTTACACGAGGTGCTGTGGTAGGTAGGTTGGATTTGAGCAGCAGGGATTTTGCTAGAACTGTTGATAGGGTGTTGAACTGGAAATCAAAGACGAGAATTAGAACCTGATGGAAAGTGCACTTTTTATTATTATTATTATCATTGATTTCATTATATTCGTATTTTATTCAAGTTAAAAATTGAAGATAACTTGAATGTGAGAATAGGATTATGCATTGTTCAATGTGGTTCAGTTTCGAATGTCGAATGTGGAGTCGTCTACTGCTTTCTCAGGTTGAGCTCTTGCAATGCAATGATTGCCAAGTTTACAGGTTATGGTTCCTTCCACTGTGAACAATCTGTTAGCGGGATAGCACTAAGTCTGCTTCTGTGCGCAATGATTGCCAAGTCTCAAGAGCTGTAAACGTCCAGATGGATGCTTGAGCAAATACTTTGAGCCTGGGCTTGGGCTTCTCTCTCTCTTTTCTTACGGTGAAATCCTAACAGCCTATACTTTGGCCCTGAGCTTGGGCTTCGCTGATCATATCACCTCGTTCTCTCTCTAGTAATCATGGAGCAGTAGCCAATGCCTCATTTGCCTTCTTTTTCGGAGGCAGTTCTAATCTTGATTAATATTTGTCTAATGTTGCAGTGTCTTTTGTGGCAACCAGACCTTGAACTCTGTTCCAGCTCCATAGTTTACGTTCTTACTTGGTCGGGCTACAAGCCCATGAAAAGTTGTTGTATTCTAGGAATGGGCCTTAATCAGTTGGGCATGTCGTCGGGAGTTCTCATCGGGCTAGTAGACACTTGGGGGTGGGATCAGGTGACTAAGGGGGGTCCCCTTAGTCACATGGCTAAGTGGATCTTAGCCACTCAACCTCATTAAAATCCAAGGGCTCCTATTAATCCTATTTAATGAAGGGTAATGTAGTAATTACATGTTTATTTAATTTTTAATTATAAAAAGAATAAAAAAATTAACCCAGCGCCCGTGTCTTTGCGTCGCCTCCCTCCCCGTCCGGTTAATTGCGCCGTCTCCGGCCTCCCCTCCCCGTCGGTTGCGCCGTCTCCGACTTCCTGGGCGCGCGCCATTTTCCATTCCCAAAAAACATGGGCGCCATTATCACTATTCCATTCCCAAACATGGGCGCCATTATCACTATTCCATTCCAGAGAGAGAGAGAGAGATTTTCTGATCGGAAAATTTTTTCCGGCGAACATCGTCGCCGGAGAAGAATTTTCCGGCGACAGTGCTAATTTTGTAATGTTTGTATGTTTTGTTATTTTGTAATGTTTGTCGATTTTTTTTGTAATGTTTGTAAACTTTGTTATTTTTGTGCACCATGTTTGTAAACTTTGTCATTTTTGTGCACCATGTTCGTAATGTTTTTTATGTCTAAAAAACACCCGGGTTGACTTTGGGAAGGAGCCCCTCTATATAGGGATGGAGCCTCCAAAGTCAACCAGGGTGTTTTTTCCCGTTCGTATGGATTGTCGGTCTAGTTTGTCATTTTTGTCCACCATGTTCGTACTGTTTGTATGTCTAAAAAACACCCGGGTTGACTTTGGGAAGAAGCCCCTCTATATAGGGATGGAGCCTCAAAAGTCAACCCGGTTGTTTTTTCTTTTTGTATGGTTTGTATTGTTTGTCGGTCTAGTTTGTATTGTTTGTACAGTTCATACGTTTGTAATGTTTGTAAATCTGTTTGTATGTTTTGTCGCTCTAGTTTGTACTGTTCGTATGTTTGTATGGTTTGTACTGATTGTAAATCCGGTTTGTATACTTCGTAATTTTCCATAATACCCAAACTACCCCTGTTATTAATTAAATAGCCCTTCCCACTTTTTAACCATTGGATTGAAGTGTCCAGATCTAAGGGCTGGGAGGAGCTTAGTCAAGTGACTAAGCACCCCCCTTAGTCACCGGATTCGCACTCTAGACACTTGGCCTTAATCAGCTCCAACTGTACGACGGCTGCACAGACCCTTGTGGTCTAGAAGCTTTGGCGCTCCGGAATTGTTTGCTAGAATGCAAGGTTCGCTATTTGACTAATGTTCAGATTCAAGGGGACACCAAGGTTCTGACCGATAAATGCAGAGCCGACGATTATTGTGACACCAAGATTGGTATTCTGCTCCGGGAAATCGTTATGCTTATGCAAGAAGTTCAAGTAGCTTCTGTGACTTTTGTAGGGCGTTCGAACAACAGAGTTGCTCATTCGGTAGCGCGTAAAGCTCTGATTTTGTCGCCTCGTCTACTGGCGGGGTTTGACTATGTTACTTGGTTACGTAGTAGATAGATTGTCTCGAACAATGATCTTTGTATTGCCTCTTTTTGGAGGAATCTATTGGGGGAAAAAAGGTTTTGTTCTTGGTGGCCCGTATGGAAACAGAGTGGCTCATATGGTGGCCCGTCAGGCTCTATTCTCGTCACCCAGAGTGTGTTCCTGGTTTGACTTCGTTTCTTGGTTATGTAGTAGGCAGGTTAACTTGTAATATATGAATCTTGTTTTTCCTCTTTTGCAAGAGTGATCTAATGGAGAAAAAAAATCCGAATTAATGAACCGTCTTGAGGTAACCGTCTCATCAAGTGGTTTTCGTAGGTCGTAATACTAATAGTAATAATGTGGCTCGTTCAGTGGTTCGCCTTATTATGTTCAGAGGTTCGACTATCATGCATGGTTACAGATTACTATCTTGATGTGTATTGTACCTAGTTCTTTCCTCTGAATAAGATCAAGAGTGATCGATTGTTAATAAAATCGCATTGAGAGATTAGACTACAATTTCAAGGAAATTTGATATGAGAACCACACACAAATGATGGGTAATCACTGTTATCCATAGTTAACGTTCTAACATGAAAATAAAATTGTGATTCGTCGAGTGTTTTTTTTAATATATCAATACTAAAAAATAATTCTCTTAACCCAAATCAACTTGCATGCATAGATGGCGAGCGAAAATAAAAATAAAATTTCTCTAACGAAAAAGTATTCGCAATCTTCTGATCGTCATTTCAGTGTTGCAGTAACCCATACCTGCTTTCAACACACGCTCTGTATGCTTATATTCAATTCAACTCTTGTCGTGAATAAAGAATGAAAATATAAGAACACTAGCAAAACCAAAGAAATGTTAGTACAAATAACAAGTCATGATTAGTTAACCCTTTGCCACGATAAAACAATCGATCACATTACATTTTATGTATACATAGAGATATCAACCCACGAAACCAAAACAAATCTTGTTACCTACGACTACGATCAAACCAAGTCCCCCAATTTTTCCAACACGACCGATCGGACCCCGTAAAAGAAATACAAGAACAAACAAACCTCAACTTGTTATTATCATATCATTCATAGTACCATTTTCCCCCCTTACCATCATCACCATCAGAACACATAGAGATCCGCAAGCTCCTGCAAGGAATCCAAGCTGAGGCTGCTTGGATCGCCATTCTCCAGCATCCAGAGCAAGTGATCGAACAGAACCACCTCACACTTCACCACAGCCGTCCGATCTTTATCATCATCGTGATGATCACAACCATCATGGCTACAGGACTTGTCGATCAGGGCATTCACCACAGGGTGGCTCAAGTACTTGGAGCTGATCACGTACCGCTTCCTCGTGCTCCCCACGAACACCATCCTTCGATCCTCGTCGTCGTCGTGATGACGAGGATCTGGATAGTGATGATGAGCAGTGCTGTGAGACCGCCATAGTTGATCGTTGGTAGTTGGAATGTTTGACCTCAAGCTGCTGTAGGACGAGGACCTGCCGAGTTGCTTGGAAAGGCTCTTGCATTTCCTTAGCAGCATGTTGATCTTCTTCATCAATCCTGTTCTTGGTTCTGGAGGTGGAATCAGAAGAATTATGGAGAGAGAGAGAGGGAGAGAGAAGGAAAGGAGGGTGGAGAGACTTGCCAAACACTCACCAAAGAGATGTATATAGCTAATTAGCAAAGAGAGAGGGAGAGGGTGGTGGTGGGTGTAATGTCGTTGTTGTTTTTATATATAGAGAGAGAATTTGTGGGAAAATCTTTATCGAAATGTATGATACTATGATAGTAATGAATATATTTTCAACTGTTTTGATCATAAAAGTTTTTTTAAAAATGTTATATTCGAATGTTTTCCTTCTGAATTCACAATTTCGCATTACGTGCTAATTTGTTTTTAACGATTTAAAACATCGTTTTGAGATTGCTAAATTACCTGGAGGAACCAAAGACGTTAGAATATGCCATATCGATTCCTATTGTCATTTATCATAAGTATAGGGATCATTTCAGCATTTTGTCTTTCCATGTCACCCGCGTAGAGGAGTTCGGTTATGTATATATTCCAATTGCTGTACAGCCAAAAATTCAAAAAGCTGAAGAACATGATAATAAAATTACTACGAGAGTTTATATATAACTCTTCGCGGACTAATCCCATTCGAATCAAGAAGGGAAAACAACATCAATCTTGTCTTGTGTTTTTTTCCCCCTGCTTTCTGCTTCTTTCGATTTTTACAGTTGAGTTTGGGACATTACTATCCAACCGAAACTTAAATATATGTCCAAACTTCAAATCCAAAGGGAGTGGGATGCTTCTTTATGATCAGCAACTCCATTGTGGACACTTTATTATTATGCTTTGTCAATCTTTAAGATTAGTAATGATATCATGATCGTTTGGGGGATTGGTTGCCCCATTATCTAGTGCTCTTCTTGTTGGATTTTGGTCATTAAGTCAATCACAAGTTTCTACAACTAGTTGTCTATTAGTTGGTTATTAGTTATGTTGCGGGGGACCTTAGTGATTTTGCATAAACTCGAATTCGTTGCATCTCGGAAGGCATGGTTGTTGAATAGGGTTGAGAGAGAGCATTTGCATGTTGAGTGAGGAGAAGAGTCCCTACCTAGAAATGGAGGATTGAAAGACTGCCTCAGTCTTTCATTGTTAACTGACAAAATTTGAGCACGTGGGACAGTTTTTTGCCATCCCCTCGAGCTCCAATCCAAATTCCCAATTGCCCTTTCTTTTCACCCCTCCCTCACATGGATGGGAATTGGATCCTAAATGATCCCCTTTTTCCAACTACTATTCTTTTCCCCTTATCGGTTTATGATTCAGTCACTCATTCAATTAGCTAACAACAAACACCCACTTGCTTCCCCAACAACAGAAAGAAGATTCACGACGACGGCTATCCAATCTCCATGTTCCCATTCATTCACATGCTTTAGTGACTCACCAGGCATGGGCAGTTCTTCTTGGTGTTGGTGAGTGGTATATGATCAATGATTGAACCTCTCCAAACAACTCGAGTTATTGACATGGTATCGTAGCTTTATGTGACCGAGAAGTTTTGTGTTCGAATCCCGGTATCCCATTTGTGAAGTACATGTATTCTAGTGTTCAGGACATGTGCAAACGAAAGCCCTTACGAGGTGATTAGCTTTCGTTTGGGGGGGGGGGGGGTGTATTAGTGAGCAGAATATGATGCAAGTATTTTATTTAACTTAATTTCGACGAAAGATGTCCGTCATAAAAAAATTAATGTGTTTTCGACATGTATAAGCATAAATAGACGCTACCAAAACCATTAAAGGCAAAACTAACAATCAGGTAGCACTCTCCTCTAGCTTAGGACTCTACCCTATGTGAAATCCCTAACGAATTGATGGAATGGTCAATTCAATGCACAAAGTGAAAACACAAACACTTGTTCTTGTTAGATGCCATTTTCTTTTCACTTGGTTCACAAGTCCCACTCACAGCTGACAGCAAACCATGCACAAACACTGTATAGGTGTTTATCGTACTTGCATGACCACTAGTTGTGTACATGTCAATTAGGGTTTTCACCTAACCAAAAATGGCGAGACCCGCAAAACAAGCTGATTGCACATTACCTCGTCTCAGTTTTGATAACTCACTCCCCATCCTATCGCTTTCCTCCCCTATTGGGTGGAAAGAGAGCGAGAAAAAAGGAGGAATAGATAGGTTTATGCACATGAGACAACATTTCTCGTATCAACATGCAATTCAACAAATATATCATTTTTTCTCTTCGTACTGAGCGTTGTGTGTGTTTGAGGGTATTTCAAATACATAGATGACAGGAGAGTCAATCAACATATGCATTCTGGAAGATGATTTCGAATCCAAATGCACTGAATCAAACAATACATCTACAAATACGTCTTATTTCGTATGATTTTAATGATTATTATCATTATCCCAAGTGATATCATAGGAGTTTGATCACATCATTACCATGCTGGCAATCGAACAAACAACATTGAGACACACACAACAGTGGGACCTAATTACCAGCACCTGCAGGATGACATTAAAGAACCAAAGTATGTTTGGTGTTGGAAAGTAATTGAAGGAATCTCTCTTAGCTAAGCTTGCCAGCTAACAATCCCCAAGGGATTGCTTAGAAGCAAAAACACATATCATCCATCACATCATCAAGACACAACAAGCTAAGAAATTTGGGGTCATTGGATAGCTAACCAGATAGAACTCATGCCTTTTTCCCCCCTTCTGATGAGTTTCTGATCATGACACCTTAACTCTCTTTTCAGTTCACCACATTTCAATTCCACATCGTAGATTGACAAAGGGGCAAAACAAAAAAGTAGCATATAACATTTCAATTACACATCGTAGCCTGACAATTGGTTTACGTCTTCCTGGTCTAACAATGTTCACATTCTATCTCTGATGCCTCTCCGTACAAAATCATGAAGAAAAAATGTAATGTATAGGGGGGAACTTTCTGCCTGTATTGACGAAAAGATCGCCCAGAGTACCTTGTCATCTTGGTTTGAATCGCAATTCACGATTCGATTCAACTATATGAATTGGAGAAGGTATTGTGGAGCTGAAGCTAATGAAATCCAACGAAGGAGTACCTTGGCAGCACTTGCCATTAGACGTTGAAACGAAACAACATTACGTCTCCCTCTTGGACAATGTACTCTTTACCCTCGGATCTCAACTGCAGGTCATGTCAAGCAGGATTAAAGTCAGTAGAGAGAATCTACGGTCACATACTTCACAGTAAAAGTATGGTACTTTTCAGTTTTCATGTGGTTAAAGAACATGGGTATAAGGTAAAGAGGGTTTTCCCGTGAATACTGTAGGCTATAATACTGGTGTAAGCTAGTAATCATAGCTAAACTGTGCTTTTGCCCAAGGACTGATGACAGATATATAAATTCTGAGGTCTAACTGTTGGCTACGGGAAATGTGCTGAAGAGGTAAATAAGGGAAAGCTACTACATTCATCAAGGCTATTTGTATGATATATAGCAGGGTAAGAAAATAAGAACACTTACAAGTCCTTTTTCCCTTGCTGTTGCAAGTGAACCAGCAGTAACAAAATCATTGTATGCAACCTGACAATTGAGAAATGGGAAGGCAGTCAGGGAATAGTGTGAAGTTGAACATTGTAATAGGTACGCCACTATTAGCCAACAGGACCTGTTTCACTGGCATGTATCAAGTTACTTTTTTACTTGGTAAAAATTGAGGTTTTGTCAGCAGGGTGTCTCTCTAAACTACAGGATGCTCGATGGCAGCGAGCCTTACAGAAAGTTATTAGTATTTCCCATAGGAATATCATTGCCAGATAAAATGGGGATAGAAAGATGCTAACCGTCTCAGCTCGAATAAAACCTCTTTCAAAGTCCGAGTGTATAACTCCAGCAGCCTGTGGTGCAGTCATTCCTGATCAAAGAGCAAAATTAGTTTGGGAAACCGTCATCTTTCCGTAACCTAAATTACAAAAGCAAGCTGTGATCTTTGAACCATCTTAAGATCAAATTATGATATGGCCCGTCGTGGAGATCCCTAGCACTATGGAGCAGCAAGAAACGAAACAATACAATGGAAAAAACTTCAGTTCAAATTAGAAGCTATCTGGATAAACTAACCTGCTCGAATGGTCCATGCTTTAGTTTCCTATAAAAAAACACACAAAACCTTTCATCAGATATTGGATAAACCTTGTTCACATAGTTCGGTTCTCAACTTATGCTTCCTCACCTTCTCACCCGAAGTAAAGTAGGTACGCAATCCTAAAAGGTCATATGTCGCCCTTACAAGATTTCCCAGTCCACTTTCACTTACACCAAGTGATGTCAAGTATTCCGTTCTTTCCTCAAGCGCCAACTCTGATAGCTCTGATTCAACCTTTAATTAAAAATTTCCCTAGTTATTTGCTGGTATAGGAGCATGGATGGAAGCAACAATAATCCCACGCCTTATAGGTGGTGTTCATACACACACTAGCACAAGGACGTCTCTGAAATGTATACCTGGGCTGAAACAGTTACTAGTCCAGATTGCAATGTGGCTGCAAGACCCATAACTTCTTTAACATGAGGATTGTCTTCAGGAACTGCTAAATCATTCTCAGCGACATTTGCCACGTATATGATAGGTTTCATGGTAAGCAAGCACAGATGCCTTATAGCCTCTTTCTCATAGTCTGTTAAACTTACAGATCTTGCTGGTTTACCATCCAAGAGAGCAGATTGTATTTTCTCCAAGCCTGACTTTTCTGCTTCCTCCTAGAGAAGGCAAAATCCAAACACATAGGTTCAAAGCTATCACAAGTTCTCTAATCTCTCTCTTAATTTGACTGTCCGTTTAAGATAGGGCACACGTATTCTACTTACAACATAGAACAAAATTAATTCACCTTAGCTTTAGATTGTGAGTCCCTCGCCTTTCCTTTTTTAAGCTTGTCCAATCTTTTCTCAATCTGCATTTCTTAGAAAAATGTACAATCTCAGTTCATCAACTAATCTCAAAAGGAAAGCTATCTTAAGCATACCACTAATACAATGCAACTAGCAAAAGATTCACAATAGACAACATCATCTGTGAAAGATAAGCAAGAAAGTTCTGAAGCACACGAAACATGTTTCACCAAGCAGCTATTGAGTTGGCAAACCTGGTCCATATCTGAGAAAACAAGCTCCAAGTTTATCACATCAATATCAGCTTTAGGATCCACCTTCCCATTCACATGAACAATGTCATTGTCCTCAAAGCACCGCACGACCTACAACAAGATCACAAACTCTTATTATCAACAACTCAGTTGTATGTCCAGGTCCATCAGGTTCAATTCAAGATCCCAATTGAATCACATTATACATCACTGTAAAAATGCCTAGCCAGCACGTTGATAGTGAACTCTACAATACATTACAAGATCGAAATTGGAGATAGAGAACAACGGATAGAAACCTGAACGATAGAGTCGACCTCCCTGATGTGAGACAAGAACTTGTTGCCCAGTCCCTGTAGTAGTGAACAAACTCGGAAGTCACAAAGCCAGCCGACTGAAATTTCAGAGAACCATCAAAACAAAGAATCCAACCAGCTATTCTCCGCTGGAAATCACACCAAAACTGAAGCAAAACCAACCAATTAAAAGAACAATAACCAACCCACCTCGCCTTGGCTGGCTCCCTTGACAAGACCAGCAATGTCTACAAACTCTATGGAGGTAGGAACTGCTTTCTGAGATTTGCTTAGGTCAGAAAGCACATTCAACCGTGGATCAGGAACTGCAACTGCGCCTACATTCGGCTCTATTGTACAGAACGGGAAATTCGCCGCCTGTGCTTTTCCATTCTCAACCTAATAATGGACACACAACATTCAATACGCAATCTCTTAGCCACTCTACACGCCCCTCATCAATCGGCAATTCTATCGAATTCAAAAGCAGACATCTCAATTGTCAAAACAATGGAGGCCAATTCGGAAGCTAGAGCTCCTATTGACTACTTACAACAGCGTTGAAGAGAGTGGACTTGCCGACGTTAGGGAGGCCAACGATGCCGGCCTTCAAGCTCATGCTAATCTTGGAAGACGAAGACGAGAACCGCCTGCTGATTCCAATAACGCCGACGAGGCGGGAGCTGTTGGTGAAGATAGACGACGAGGGGGACGATTTCAGCGGGAGGAAAGATAAGGCGGGGATGATGTTGGCGCAAGCTGCTCTCGCCATTTCTGGAGCTCCGGAACTTTACTGTACTAGCGAGAGCACGAAAGTGGCCGGCCGGGTATCTGAAAAATGGCGGTAGAGGGAAAAGTGAAAGAATGGCTGCCTGAGATTGAATCGGAAAAACTTTTTGAAAAACCCTTCCTATGCCTTTCTTTGTTTTCTGCTGTGTGGGTTTAGTGGCGGCCAATCCCATTTTCGCGGTCCAAATTGCTCCGTCGCCGGATGGGTGTCGATGGCCGAACTCCCGTGGCACTTCCGTAATTATGGTCCAAAATTTTCCCCTTATGTGAGCCCATTATGGAAGCGGCCCACCAAAACAATGAATGAAACTGCGCACGCCCCACGAACCCGCCAATTTTAGCCCAACTCAGCAATCCAGCAACGCTTATCATAGAAATCCTGCCAAGCAAGAAAGCTACCTTGCCATCCAAGTAAGCAGTGAAAGAAAAGAAATTAAAAGGCGAATGAAAGGAAAGGCTTACTTGAACGAGCAAAGAGAGAGAGAGAGAGATGTGAAGGAACGGTATGGGAGCGAGATGTACTCTTCTTTCACTTTGCCTTTTGCACATCTCCCTTTAGCTCTTCTTTCCATTCTCGGTATTGCTCCAGTAAGTTGTTCGTAATTTCTTTGGAAGAATTTTTTTTGTCTCCATTCCAACTTGTCAAATCTTATTTCGTTTCACTCAATGACAAAAAAATGAAATGCATGACTGATAATTCGTCGACCCACTTATCCTTATGTAACATTTCATCCTAACCTTGGTCTAAAGATCATACATTTTCCCAATGTGGGTAATAATAGAGGAGGAATCCGCCCTTCATAATTGGCAATGGGCGGCGGGGCTGTGTGCAGAGCTCTATAGGGAGCTGGTGGTGGATGATGGAAACAACAACCCGGGAAGTTCTTCCAAAGAGAAAACGGAAAGCTTTCCGGAGAAAAAGCGGGAATGGAAGAAAGAACTCAAGGAAGAGCTAAAAAAGGAGAGGGAGAGAAGGAGCCTCGCAAGAAGACGAAGGGGGGTGAAAGAGATCTCCGGTGGAAATTTGATAATGAGCTTGGGGAGGTTGTCGTCGATCGTCTGTTTGCTTTATAAGCTCTTCTTTTCGTTTTTTTTTTTTACCTTTTATTAATAATAATATTCCAGGAGTAATTTCAGGTTAAGGTACTAAGAACGTATTTATTTTTCTATGAAGTTGTTGCTTAATTTTGTTTTCGTTGAATATAAATGGTTTGTTTCTGGTCAACATTACTAATGAATCATGATGATTTCTTACCCCTGTCCTACGGATTTAATTACGTTCGAATTAATTAGTATTTAAATAAGGAGGAAGTAATTACATTAAAAACAAAATTAAAGTAGTCAAACCTATGAAATTTGAAGGGCAGTAATGGAGGGTTTATACTGCTCAAGATAGGGTGCATAACTTTAGGGTGCATAACTATGAGTAACTAAATCATTACCCTTCTTTTTTAAGTGGCGGCAGATCTAAAAGTGGAGAATTAAAAAAATTTATTTTTTCTAGTTTTCTTGATTGGATCATATCTTTTTCATTCTAACTCGAATTTCAATTTTTTTGCACAGATGGAACGAGTTCGTTGTGCTCTACAAAATTATATTCATTTTCAATATTTTTTGAGAAAAAAATTTTCATACCTCTCGTTACCAATTGCATACCATATGGTATCTTTTTCATTTTTAAGTCGTTTTTGAAAAAATTTGCACAGAAGGAACGAGTTCATCATGATCTATTGGATCTACGAATTTCAGGGTGAACAAAATACAGGACCAAAAAATACCACACAATATCATCCTGGTACGGGGTGGTATCTTGTGGTACACAACGTTAAAATTCGTAAATGACACTCCTACCATCATGTATTCAACCATTCCACAGTCTTGGTATGTTCATACCACCATGGTATGCTTTATACCATATAGTATGCTCTTATTTCAATACCAGTCAATACCATATGGTATAGAGTGGTATAGAATGACTCAATTTTTGGGAATGGTACAAAATTCGTAAATTTTATTTTTACTGATTTTGAAAGCTATTCATCATAGATTTTGGCCGATTTTTGAGAATGGTATTATTTACCAATACTGAAGGTTATCAATCACAGATTTTGTTGATTTTTTGCATGTCATTATTCAGCAATTTTGAATTATATCCAGTTATCCACCATAGATTTTGACCAATTTTTTTAATACTATTGTTCACTGATTGAAGGTTGCGCATAACATTTTTTGCTTTGAAGGTGGTTATTCACTGATTTTGAAGGCTATTCATCACACATTTTGGCCAATTTTTTGGAAGTTATTTTCACATATTTTTTGAAGGTTGTCCATCACCGATGTTGGTCAAATTTTGGTTAAGAATGGATAGGCCAAATATTCCTCTCTAGTACAAATAAAATTTCCACCCGTCGAATTGATTGTCAACTTGAGAATGTGTTTTTGAGGGCATGAATAGAGTTTCCGACACCTCTTAACTTTATTAACCCTCCACACGAGTTGAGGTATAGAAGTTTCTAAGCTCTTGCTCAACCAATAAGGATTAAGTTCTACAAGAATTCTCCACCACCACAAGTATAGAGAAAAAAATTTAGTTGGTTGCAAGAATAAAATTCGAAAAATCATATTATGAGTTTGAATAAGGCAAAGTGATCAAAGAAGTGTCAAGTTGATGGTAGAAAGCATTCAAAGATTAAGTGTTTATCAAAAGTTCTGCCCTATCGTTTTGAGGCTCTAATGCATAGTAACTAGTAAGTGTTTAATGCTAGGATTAAGTGGCATGATATTCTTGCATGTTGATGTGATTAGGATTCTATTGTGCTATTGTTGACCTTACAAGTTGCTTATGATCCACCACCTAAGATCATGGCAGAGTGATGGTTCCTAGGTTTAATTGAGTTGTATGGTTATGAGTAAACATTAGTCTTTGCTTGGAGACAAGCAAAGTTCAAGCGTATGGTATTTTTTATGAGACTTTATTTATAGTGTTTATCACTCCCATTCTTGATACATTTTCTCTTCTATCAATGCATCTTTAGTCATTTCTTTTGGATTTCTTATCTAAATCACTACTATTTCGTCAATGAGCCTTTAATAGACTTAGGATACGTTTTTGTACTCTTTGATGCCTTCTTGGTATGTTTTTTATGGTTTTCAGGATACAAATCAATCTAAAGAAACATGGATCAAGCATTGGACAACTCTGGAGGATCAAATGAGTATTAAAGAGATATATATGGAGTGCTCTTGATAAGGAAGAGGTCCAATGATGGATAAGCATACTAGTAACCACAAGTAGAGCCCAAGGGAGAAAGACTCGGCCTAAGCAGAAGCAGAAACCAGTGGCGACCCAACAACTGGCCCAATTGCCACCGCCTATGAAAACTTGGTCAAGATGCGCCCAAATATGAGGAGAGGTTTTCATGGGCCAAGAAGACCAACCCAAAAAAAGGGGCGGGGGCTAGCCACCGCAAGAGGCCCAAGCCCAAAATCACATCTTTAGGTCATGACTTCTGCCCCAAGTGGGGAAAAAACTTGTCCTAGCCGATTTATGAGGGTTTTGGTCGAGTTCCACCCCTATAAATAAGTGCTAGACTCATTAGTTCAATAGGCTGCACAACAACATTCAAATTTTTGTATACTCTGCTCGAGTACGAGCTTTGCTTTCGTAGGAGAGGCTGCAATTAGGGAGATGCTTTCATCATCGATGGTGGTATCCTCCTTCTCTTCTTTGTCGATGCTCATCTAGTTCAATGCTTTTTATCATTTATGATTATGATTCTGTAGTGTTCTACTATGTGAATTGTGTTTAGTATCATCTAGGCTGTTAAGAAATTACTCTCCAGTGATACTCCATTGATGCTACAAGAGTATAGAAGGAATGATCACCATCTATATCTCGAGTAGTATTAATGCTTGATTATTAGATCATCGATTGTAGCTCAAGAGGCCCACACTTAATCATGTGATATCATAACTTCCTTGTCATTCATTAATTAGGTAATGGCATGAAGCAAAAGTATGCATTGGCTAGTTAAATATCTATCATAAGAGACGCATGCACGAATATAGAAAGGCCTTTGTGGAAGGTGGTAGAGTGATGCTATAGATGAGTCATTTATGCATGATAAAATTAAGTCGTAATATGCATAATGCTATTCGAGATTCACTCTCTTGTACGATAACTTATCTATACTTTTATGCATCTATAAATTGGAAAAAAAAAACTTAAACAACTTTACTCTTCTTGTTTTACTTTTCCTTGCTTGTTAGTTGTTACTCGAATAAAAACCCCTAAGCAGTCCCTCTTATTTTGTATGTCCTATATGGTGGGTTGTGAGTAGTTATGCATTAGAAGACCTGTGGAATACGATCCTAGGGCGTCCTATGATAACTTCAAAACTGAGCAACTTACATCAACATGCTACTCTCTAATGTTATGAGGGAGTCGTTAACATACTCCCTGGTGTGATGAGGGGGTGATCATTCGTATAGGCCCCTTAGTGTGATGGGGGTGATCATTAGTGATACCCCTAGTGTGGAAGGAAGTGATCACGTGGACCAAGATAATGAGAGGGGTCTCCATGTCTCGACACTACCCCTAGTCCAATAAAGCGAGATGAAAATTGATTAAGTATGGAGTAGCCTTCGTAGTGTGATGAGGGGTGATCATCAATATACCCCTAATGTGCTGGGGGTGGTCATTAGTTACACCCCTAGTGTGGAAGGAGATGATCACGTGGAATAAGATTATGAAGGGTCTCCATGTCTCAACACTATTACCCAATTAGTCTTGTCGATCTGGCGACGAGCAAGGCTTGTCAATCTCTGAGTGGATATGGTCGAAAAGGGGTTAAGGAAGGAAACTCGGTGATGACTCGACACTCGCTATGGGTACCAACTCAGACGTCTACTATGTGCTTTACCCATAAGAAAATAAGTCGGACTTGATTTCGACTCGATGATTGGGACGATGACACTTCTCTCACTAACATTGTTGACCAAATAAAATAAAATAATAATTTATTTTTTAATTGCCACAACACCTTTTAATTGTCAACATTACTATTGACTGTCATATAGGTAAATAAAACAGAAGTAAAAAGTGAGTAACCAACTATAAAATGAATTTTTTTTTATAGAGATAAAATGAAAATTTAAAGTTGATAACCAATAAAATTTTTCCCCCGAATTATAACATAAAATAAATTGATAAACTTGGGATCAAACTTGCAATTCAACGGCCAATTGGGAAAATGCTCACCGACCGCTTCCTTCATATCTGAATCTCCATCTCCAATAATTTTTCTTCTTTTACTTTCCCTTCCATTCTTCGTCGTTATCTCTTCCCTCCTTAGGGTTCCTCTTCGCCTTCTTCTCCAATCCCACAAACGGCTTTCCCCCCCTGAACTGTTGAATTATCGCGTTACCTATTTCTCCACTGTACGGATCCTCTCCTGCAAAAACCCCCTTCCGGTGAAAGCTCTCACTTTCCTCTTGTCCGGGGTTTTAGATTTCCGCCATGGCCGTCATCAGCCTCCTCTAGGGTTTCTTCTCCCCCCAATTGTTTCGGAGTGGTAAGCGTAGGTAGAGATATATATGGATAGGTTCATGAATGGAGGCGGGGTTCCGCAGAGTTCGAAGGTGGAGGATCCTCGACCATTCGGAATTAGCAGTTCTGGTAAGTCCTTCTCCTTCTTCTTGCGCTTTCATGTTTGGTAGCTCGATCTTCTGCTTCTCTTTCGGGTTGTTGGAGATCTTGTTTTCGTAGAAGGAGGAAGAGAATTCTTTTCAGTGAATCTTGCGGTGGATGGCTTGTTTTCGAGGTTGCTCAGGTCAACTTCAATGGCGGATTGAGTTATCGACATGGCGTAGCTGTGTATGCCTTCTGGTTGTTTTGCTGAATGGAACAGTTCTTTGTTACTGCGCGGGAGCTTCAAGTTTTGAGTGAACCATTTTAGCTTTCTGATAATTCACAAGTGCTCTCATATAATATTTGTATGATGGTGAAGCTTTCATGCCCTCTGTTGTCCTGCTCTTTGATTGTTAGTAATAATTTGTCATTCAATTGCACTACTCAATTCCTTGTGGCTTGTGATTGCTATCGAGGGTGACATAAGACAGAATGATTTAATGTTGATTGGTAGTGCTATTGGGACGAATTGACTATCGTGATTTTGCTGACTCGACGTCTTTCATAATTGCAGGGGATACTCTGTTTGATGCGTCTCAGTATGCATTCTTCGGCAAGGATCTTGTTGAGGAAGTGGAGTTGGGGGGGTTGGAGGAAGAGGAGGAAGAGCCCGCTCCAGCTGAATTTGATGAAGAGGAATTTCTTTTTGATAGACAAGAGGTATAGCCCTTATTTGTGCTCTGTAAGGTTACGTTGGCTTGATTTTGTCCAGGTCCGGAAACAACTGAAATCTAATCTGACAAGCTTGGTTTCTCCTATTTCCAGGGAGACGGTTTAGGATCTTTATCGGATATTGATGATCTTAGCAATGCATTTTCAAAGGTTAGTCTGATCCATTTGCAGATGGCCATAGAAACAGCTTTATTATGGTGTATTACTGTTTTCACTCCTCTGGGACCTAGCTTTCAAAATGCAACATATTTTCAGGTAGATGTTAGGATACTGCTCTTAAATGCAGAAATGGGAGAAATGGGATCTTGATTGTCATTGTTTACATATCCTTTTAGACAGTGTTTCCAGTTTCGTAAATGATTATTATTCCAGTTGAATGTTTGTGTTAACTGTTTCGTCATTTGCAGTTAAACGAGGATGTAGGTGGGCCAAGAAGATTTGGTGTAATCGCTGAGAGGGGGTCAAGAGAAAGTGAGTAAAGAAATTTCAATTCTTTCATCTCAATTTCTGATCCAAATTACGTGACTACTGAATTGGGCAATGATGTGAACCATAGAACTGCTTCTTGTGTAGTTCGCCTGCTATTTTGACTGACTCTCTTTATAAGTTATAGGAACCAATATTTTCTCAAACTGTAGTTAAATTTTGGGACAATTTCAGAGTGGCTTCGAGTTAATGAAAATAAAGGTGTTTTTCTCCCTCTCTAGTCTCTCTGTCAAGGTTCACTTAAATAAATTTTATAGGTTGGTTACTTCACGTTCTCTTCAATTGCATGTCTGCATCAAATTACTATTTAATCTATTTCAGTCATGTATCTCTGAACAAGCTGAGTGAGATGAGATGGTGGTTGTCAGTAATGAAAGTTGCCTCACCTGATGCATTGAGATACTGATGATTAAATGTTTTTTTTTTCTTCTTTCTGCCGGAGATGAGATTGTGGTAGTCACTAGTCAGTAGTGAAAGTTGCCTCAACTGATGCATTGAGATACTGATGACAACTATTCTTATCTTCCCCCCAGGTTTAGGATCTTTTGTCATTTGCAATCGTTCTTTGTCTGATTGATCTACTTTTGTTGTTGATAGATTTGTAGCATAGCAGTCTGGGACCATATGAAAAGGATTTTTTTTTTGTATGTGCTTTTGTTTTGGATTGAATTCTAGCATGGCCATCTGGGACCATATGAAGAACGATTGTTTACTTTATATCTCATGTCAGCAATCAATCAGATTAAGCTTCTAGCCACAAGCTTTCTTCCTCGTCTGCTTCATTTCACTGTTCAACCTCTTACACTTATGTTTCTCCAAACAATCCACATGAGTTGGCAATATGGTAGTCATATTAAATGAGAGTAAACTTAGTAATACGTTCATATACAAACAGAAAGACTGATTGTGATGTTCCTATTCCAGGTTCATCTGCTACCGAGTGGGCACAAGGGGAAGAGGTCCCTAATTGGTATGGCCAGCAGGTAGTTGACCCCGACATATCTCAAGATAGCAAGAGATGGTCATCACAACCCTTTGTCTCTTCTGCTCGACCGGGAGATCCGAACAACTTGTATCGAACATTTTCATATCCGGAGCAACCCCAGCAACACCATCAACAAGTACACCATCAACAGTTCTCAAGTGAACCGATTCTTGTCCCAAAACCTTCTTATCCTTCATATCCTCCTCAAGTTAGCGGACAATCCCCACTTGCTTCACCAAATCACACACAGTTAAATATCCCGCATCTCTCTGGAAACCCCCAGATGGCATTGTCTCCGCAGAACCAGTCTCCCTTCTCCAATTCTCAGCTCCAGATGCCTGGTGTGCACCATGGATCACCACAGTACGGCAGAAACTTGCAACAGCTTGCCTCTGGTCTAGCTGTTAACAGTCGTCCACCAGGGCAATGGGCGAACCAAACTGGCATGTTCCCTGGAGACCATCCCATGAACCGGATGAACAATGCGCTGCCTCATCAGAATGGGCTAATGCCTCCACAGATGATGCGACCTCATATGCAGCAGCAGCAGCTGCTGCAGCATAGATTTCACCATCAGGGTCAGCCATCTTTAAGTCATTTACCAGGTATGAATAGTTGTTAAAATCAAGATTTTATGCAATGTTGAAATTTTTTAATATCATGATAAGATTGAATCTGAGGTTGCAAGATATTAGTGTCCTATACAAATAACCATGATATAGCTGGTACTCTAACCAATTGTAAATAATTGATCGAATGAGTAATATTACCCAACATGAGCGAGTAGAAGAGCATATAATATGACATGAATATATAAAATTCACAACTTGAGTGAGTTGAAGATAAAACAAGCTATAACTTCGTACCTGACATATAACTGTAGCAAGGCTTCGCATGTAAAATTGTAAGTTCCATTGATTTCTTTTCCATAAAATCTGAACATTTGTGAACTGCGGATTTTATATTAAGATCCAACAAAGTTGGTACACGTAAAAATCGCATGGTTGTACTAAATCAGGATTTACAACATTGCAGGTATTCAGAGTCAAATCTTTAACCCACATCACCCTCCATCACCTCCAGTGATGAGAAACTTTGGCGCGGTTCTCGGCATGGGCGATCTCAGAGATCAAAGACCGAGATCGGTTCAGAGAGGTGGCCGGTTCAACATGCGGTATCCTCAACCAAGCTATGATAGCGGCTGGCCACAGTTCAGATCCAAGTACATGTCAACCGATGAACTTGATGGCATTCTCAGAGTGCAACTTGCTGCGACACACAGCAACGACCCGTATATAGATGATTACTATCACCAGGGGTGTCTCTTCAAAAAATCCTCATCTGGTGCAACAAAGATCAGACACCATTTCTGCCCAACGCACTTGCGTGATCTACCTCCGGGGGCCCGCGTGAACTCTGAACCACATGCTTTCCTACAGGTGGATGCTCTTGGTAGGGTTCCTTTCTCTTCCATCCGCAGGCCCCGCCCTCTTCTCGAGGTGGATCCTCCCAATTCTTCTACTACCAATAGCGAACAGAACAATGTTGCCCCCGAGAAGCCACTAGAGCAGGAGCCTATGCTTGCAGCTAGAGTTGCAATTGAAGATGGTCTCTGCCTCCTCCTAGATGTTGATGATATCGATCGTTTCCTCAAGTTTAATCAGATCCCTGATGGTGGGACCCACTTGAGAAGGCGGCGGCAGGAACTGTTGGAAGGGCTAGCAACATCTCTCCAGCTGGTAGATCCACTTGGGAAAAATGGACAAACAGGTGGAAATGACGACATGGTTTTCTTGAGGGTATTAGCCCTTCCCAAGGGCAGGAAACTTCTGTCTAGGTACCTACAACTGCTACCAGCTGGTGACCTCCTACGTGTTGTCTGCATGGCCATCTTCCGTCACTTGAGGTTTCTGTTTGGAGATATGTCTCGGGCAGCTGAAGCTACGAGCAACCTGGCTAGGACTGTATCACTGTGTGTCCGCCGGATGGATCTCGGGTCGCTCAGTGCGTGCCTTGCTGCCGTGGTTTGTTCGTCTGAGCAACCGCCATTGCGCCCATTGAGCAGCTCGGCGGGAAATGGGGCTTCGGTCGTCTTGGTTTCTGTGCTCGAACAGGGTGCTGAGTTGTTGAGCGATTCACTTCAAGATGCGAGCAACTACAATGTCACAAACCGGGAGCTTTGGAAGGCCTCGTTTGATGAATTCTTTGGTCTGCTTATCAAGTATTGCGTGAATAAGTACGACGGGATTATGCAGTCTTCTTGCTTAGATCCAGCTGAAGCTATAAAGAGAGAATTGCCTATGGAGCTTTTAAGGGTGAGTGTTCCACATACCAACGAGTACCAGAAGAAGATGTTGTATGATCTCTCTCAGCGGTCGTTGGTTGGTCAGGAGAAAGGCAATGTTGGTCAGGCAGTGTGAGGTGATACCAATACCAGAAGCATTGTTGGGCTTAATTACTTGATTTTCTTTTCAAGGTTCCACAATTGTCGTTGCACCACACTGGAGCAGTACATTCCGAAAGGTGGAGCATATTGACAATATCCACTTTGGGGAGCATGCGTAACCGGCGAAAGCTCGTAGTCGCCTTTTAGTTTTTCTGAATAGAATTTTTGGCCATTCTCATTCAATTTCACCCTTGTCTTCCTGTACTGTCTTAGATCTGTTATGGCTCTTGGAATTTTGTCTTCATGTCTGGTCGTCGTCTGTCTCTTGAGAGCTTATTTTGATGCTCTGTTGTGGAAAATTTTCCTCGATGTAGAAGGAAGAGGGTGTAGTGGGTTTAGATGTACAGGTAACCAGAATGATTTACTCCTACTTCTCCGTACTATTTGCTTATGAGGGAGGTCCAGGGATTTGGTTTTGAGTTGCTTGTGTTGTTTTATGGCAGTCGTTGTTCATGGCTGGATGTGCAGAATTGCTGCAACAGATCTGAAGAAGCTCGTTCGCCAGTTAGTTTCCTTTTTCAGCATTTGTTCTTATGGTCCAATATGCACTGCTGTTCTGCTGCAGAATGTTGGATATTTTGTGAAGGTTTTGATTCATATTTGCCGGTGCCAATGGTCATATTAGATCTCTTTCTTTTGCACCTGGGATAGAGAAAGATGTCATCTTCTCGAACAGACACCTTTCAATTTAGGTCATTTGACATGAACCATGTTGTCTACTTTCTTTATCTGATGAATAGCTTTTGGTCTGTTAGTATCACAAGGTTGACCACTTGTTAGTAGCTTTGTCCAAAATTCAAGTGTATAGACTATGGCTATGGCTCCTGGTTATTAATCGTCTTGTAAGTAGAGGCACTCTTGAATGTTGATGGTGCCTTTCTTCACATCCACGATTCTTCAGTTCGAGGAAAGTGACGAGAATCAGAACTTCAGGAAAGAATTATTATCTATGGATCCCACTAACAAAATTTTCAGACAAATTCAATCACACGGAAAAATATGATGACCATAATACGAAGCAAGAACGACCAAGCCATTGGCTTCTCTGGTTAGCATAAGAGCAGCAATGTGATACCATCCGCCACAAACACCAGAACCTCTCTCACTACTCAATCAGTTGCTCTTCCCATCCGATTTCAGACCTAGCTTACTCCTCTGCTGGTGCTCTGCAACTTTGTAATCCACCACCTCCCTGAACAGATTTGGGTCCAGCACACAATCATGGCTTCCGTACACTGCAGCTTGAACCCCAGCCATAAGCTTTGCAATCTCTCGTCCAGAGAATCCATCAGTCTTCGCTGCTGCTTCTCTAAGGATATCGTCGGTCAACCCTTTGATCTCGATTCTCTGCTGCTGTTGTCTCCTGAACAACCTCTTCAGCCAGTTGCCCTTGGATTGTCTCGATCCTGCCTGAGCGATGTACTTATCAAGGTAGAGCTTCAGGAGCTTGAACCGTTCGTCTTCACCCGGTAAGGGGAACTCAAGGACCTCGTCCACACGGTCTGCCACAGCTGAGTCAAGGTCTCCAGGCCTGTTTGTGGCTAGGGCTAGGACTATGTCCTTGGACTGGTCTCCAGTTCGGAAGAGGAGTGCGTTCAGCGCACTTCGTTGTGCCTCACTCATGTAAATCTTGTTCCGCCTGCAAACATTTGATAGAAAGTTTAAGCTGTAAGACCATTTGATTGACATGGAGCTGGTGGTTCTAACTCGGATGATCATGCTAACTACGAATATCAAGTGGAAAACAAACTCCCAGATCCAGAAAAGTAGATTTGAAATACCAATTTGGTCACTGGGCTTCCCTGTTTGTATTATAGTGAAGGCACTAATATGATACACAGGGACGCCTTTGATGCTTTGATTGCCTCACTACCAAGTTATTAGTTCAATATGATACTTGAATCTAACCCCTAAAAGTTGCCTAGGTAAGTATCCACTTACTCGCATAGGAACGCATCTGCTTCATCTATGAACAGCAACAAGCCTCTTTTAGACTTCTTAGCCCAATCAAACAATTGATGGATCTTGGTAACAGCCTGAGAGCCTAATGGAGCAACATCACCACCAGTCATCAATGCATAATCTAATCCCTGCACAAAACAGAAAATTTCACCAAATAGGTCAATAAAAATGCCTACTTTGAGAGGCAAATTTCCTAAGCTAGTGTAGCCATAAGAAAAGCTGACGCATTAAATAGTCGATCCGATACCAGAACTTTCCATGTTCCAACTCTTTTGAACTCTGGAACATTGAGCTTAGGCATATAGCTAGTGGATAGAAACATACTGATTTACGAGCGAGTTCTCTGGCGGCCATGGTTTTCCCAGTCCCAGGAGGGCCATAAAAGAGCATGTTCCTGAATGGTGCTTGATGAGATTTCGTATTAGCAGTTGCACTAGCCAACTGTTGAATTCTCTTCTGGAGAGAAGGATGTAAGATGACATCTCCGAAGCCGTTTCCATTAGTAGTAGGAGCTCCTTTGGAGGTCAAAGTGCTCATGCCGCGTTTGAAAATTCCAGACCAAGGGTACTTCCCTCTGGAGGACTCTCTGATTAAGGAAGGTTGTCCTAGTATCCTATCTACGTAGCTCCACATCACTTTTGCACCTTCCCTGCAGTGATGAGAAAAAGTTAAAGCATAAGCCATGAGCTTAAAAGAATTAATCATACAATAACATACGTCCTTGAAATATGTCATTATCCACTTGTAGTTCTTATCATAAGATTTTTAACCAATGTTACAAATTCCCCATAATCTGGAACCCTTCGGGATGGAAATCTGTCCAATTTACAAATCAACTCTTCATACAACATGTAAATAAAGATAATTTACAACAACTTGATCAAGATGAACCATTCTGTGTCTGCTAGGATGCATATGAATCTTCGTGAGACCAATTTAATGTTTTACCTTGTTGTGTAGATTCCTGCTGCAAGAGCGGTCACTCCTCCAACCACAACAACCAGCTTATTCTGATCAGTCAAAACCGCTTTCAAACCCCCTACAAAAGTCATCACAGTTCATAAGTGCTACACATCTAAACATGAGCGTGCTACACATCTAAACATGAGCTCATTATAGTTCTTTGAATTGGATCACTAGCATACATAATTGATAAAGTTCCTATACCGCCAATATGGTCGAATGTAGTATTAATTGCCGCAACCCACTTCTCTCGTTCAGCATTCGCACGATCAACCAGTATTCTTCTGTTGACATCTTCAGCCAACTTTGCCTCGTGGGCTCGCCCTTCTGCCTCTGCCATAGCTCTCACTCTGATTGTCTCTCGCTCTATCTCGGCCTTCTCCCTCTCGGTTTGCCTTCGTTGAGCCTGAATCTGTTCTTCTGTGGCTCGTCGAGCTTGCTCCTGCCTGATCGATGACTCCTCTTGAAGCTTGACCAACTCTTGGTTCCTCGCTCTTTGGTGTTCATTATCAGCCTACCAAAATGGCAAAATGAATAATAAATAACACTTAAACCCCTCTTCTTTAAATGCCATCAATCAATCAGCCAATATTGACATTCAGCTATAGATATACATGCCTGCATTCTCTTCCTTGCCAGTTCATCCTCATACCGAGCCATCTGTGACTTAACTTGGGCTTGATGTGAAGCCAACTTCTTCTGCTCATCATACATCACCCTTTGCCTCTCCTGTCAAATCACCGCATTCAGCAATTCAGAACAAGCTATTGATTACCCCACAAGCAAAATCCCACAAAACCCCTAAAAAAGCTCTGCAGGATCTTACAGTTTCAGCTTGAGCTTGAGCAGCCTTGAACTCTGCAGCTTTAGCAGCCATCACTTTCTGCCTAGTTTCCTCCTGCGTCTTCAATACCTCAAACACCTACACCCCCAACACCAATAACAAATCCCTTATTCACTAAATTGGGAAAACAACCCATGATTGCCAAATCATTCAACTTCACTAGAAAAAACTTATCAAAGTTCGAACCTTTTTAGCGTGAGAGGAAGAGGTAATCTCTCTGATGGCCTTGGCGCCCCTCTCGAGCGCCTCCGGGTCAAACCCAGCGGAGGAAGTTCTCGGGTTGTCATTTCTCGAACCCTTGGGGACGGAATCAGTGGCGAGAGCAGCCAGCGCCGGGTCCACCGGCGGCGATTCGTGCGACTGCGGGGAGTTCTGAGGTGGGTTAGCAGCATTCTGGGGAGTAGTGGAGAACGGGTTAAAGTTGAAAGCAGGGCCATCGGCGTAAGCAAACGTAGAGTGGTTCGATTGGGAGATTGAAGCTGCGGCCGCAAGGGCTGAGACCAGCCCAATTGCAGACGCTTTCACCATTTTTGGGGGGCGGGGGCGGGGGCTTCCTCTTACGCTGCTAGACTGGAAGACGAACCATATGCTGGAGAAGCTTGGGAGAGGGGAATTTCAGGCCGTGGAAATAAATTTGATGGCTTTTTTGAGCGGTGGAGAAGGTTCTGGCTTGAATGGGAAGGAAGGCAGTTGCAGTGGAGAGTTTAGGAGTGGGAAAAAGAGAGAGAGGAGTCGCCGAGGTTTTACCGGTAGGGTTTTTGCAGGGTTTGGACTTTGGACTTTGGAGGAGCATTGAGGCGGGTTCTGGCAACTTGACCCGGTCAGCCTTCTTTTGCATAGCCGACCCGGGCAGTAGGGTTGTTAATGAACCAAGCCGCTCATGAACGGCTCGGCGTCTGATTCGAGAAAAACTCGTTAGAAACTCGATTCGTCTTAATCAAGTCGGTTTGCGAACAAGCTCGTTAACTAAACGAGCCGAACTCGAGCCATACCATGTTCAGCTCGAAAGCTCGCGAACAAGCTCATTTAACGTTTTGGCATAAGAAAGGATTAGAATTCATGGATTTTATGTATTGAAATTGGGGAAAATGTTGTGATTTTTATTTTGCTAGACTTTGCTACAGTTTTGAATGTAATTTTGTGCCTAGTTTTAGATCAATCTTGAGCTATTATGAATATTTAATAAGCTAAACTCGATTCTGGGCTCGTTAACCTTATTTGACGAGTCGACCTCGAATGGAGCTCGAGCTTTCATTTTCATAAACGAGCCGACCTCGAGCTTGCATATTAAAGCTCGTAACGAACACGAGTCGAGTTCGAGCTTGAAAATTTATTAACGAGCCGAGCCCGAACTATGGCAAAACTCGACTCAGCTCGGCTCAATAACAGACCTACCGCCGAGCTTTAGAGCTTATTATGCAAGGAGATTAATCAAGTAACTTTGAGCTCAAGTATGGAGATGTGTTTGGTGGTGGATATACTTTACGAACTCACACGAATAATTGATGAATGTATGATAAACAGTCACATTATTGCATAAATCATACAAATCATGATAATCATCATCTATCTAAACTAGGGCCGCAAACGGGTCGAACTGCTCGCGAGCCGCTCGACGCTCGACTCGGAAAAAACTTGTTCGAAACTCGACTTGTTTCTTAATGAGTCAAGTTTGAGCTAAGCATTCTGCAGCTCATGGAGCTCGCGAGCTAGCTCGACTCGGTGGCTTGTTAAGCTCTACTCGTGAGCTGACTCGTTTAGAACTCATGAGATGTATCAACTCTCAACATTGTGGCTAGAGATCCAACTGGATTATCGACTTATGAGTGAATTGATATATATGAGTTTAATTTCGATAATTCAAAAGATTGTTAAATTATATATCTCACCCTATATGAAGTTTAACACGTAGATTATGTGAGTAAATATGTCTTATTTAATTTTAAAAGCATATATTGCTTCTATACCATGAAATAACATAATTTTGACTAGTTAACATTTATTAAGTAAATAATATGATACCACAAAGAATAAGATGAGATTAGTTAATATTGTACACTTAATGATTATTATTAATTTTTTCATCTTGACGTTAATCACATGTATCATACACGACATATAAAATGAATATATCAAATACGAGTCAAGATTGAAAGCTAGATCGAACTCGACTCGACTCGATAATAAACAAATCGAGTTCGAACTCGAGCTCAACACGTTTATCAACGAGTTGAACTCAAATTGTGATATAACACGAATCGACTCGAACCATTTGCAGCCCTACATTCAAAACATGGTTGAACTACAAGTCTATTAGTAACCCTTATATTGGTTGTCGTAACCTTATTGTCAAGCCCAATCCATGTTCACTATATTTGGGCCAATTGTTTGGTCACCTTGAATGGAAGAAAGGAAGGCCCAATGGGAACATTTGCCACCTCTAGTCTGCCTCTGTGGATAGCCTGTCTTGTAAAAAATTAAAAACTGCTCGATCATAGTACTTTGTTTTGTTGCTTATGGCCATGGGACATGATTGAATCTGAAAGCGATAGAGTTAGAGGAATCTCCACATTATCAAAACCAAAAAACAAAAACAAAGCAATCAAAAGTCCAGACATCAAACGGCCAATACGAAACTCTAACATGGGAACCTGTTCCCGATTGGACAGCCCAAGCACAGTGATAAGAGAGAAACAGAGACAGAGTGAGCCCACTAACTCCCTCTTAAACTCAACTTCAAGACAGTGAGACAGACATGCATTGAGAGAGCCTCCTCCTTCATTCATTAAACAATTTGCACGCATGGCAATGCTCTTTTCCCCAAACTTTACCTTCCCCCTCCATTAAAAATTCCTTCTTTTTCTTGCTCCCCTTTACCTTTCGGCCTTCATTCTCTCATGGGTTCCTTCCTGCTTCCCAATCCCACCACTCAAAACCCCCAGAAATAGCACGGACACAGAAGAGCTGCCCCATGAGTTCTTTCATGCCTTCCTCGGATCCTCTGTTTCTTGCTAGTCCCCTGTTCATGAAGCTCTGAATTTTGAGTCCTTCCTGATCAGCAAGCTGCAAGTAAGCTTCTTTGTTCGTCTCTTAGTTTTGGGATGATGTTTTGATTCGTGGGTATGTATGGATTTCTTATTGTTTCTGTTATCTGGGATTTGTGTATTTCCACCGGCTGATGCTTGATTGTCTGTCCTTGTCGGATCTCCAGTTTCTAGTCTTGAAGAGTCATGATTGGAAATTAAGGAAAGTTGCAAAGATTTTAGAGAGAGAGAGAGAGAGAGAGAGAGAGAGGAGAAAAGGGTAACTATGCTTGTCGTACATACATATTGGACAAACTAAAATTTTCACACTAATGTTTAAAGCTCTGTTTTGGTTTATAATTTGTTTGTCCTACACCAAGTTGGCTCGCAATCACGGGTGATCATACGAAGCAGTAACTCTCGCTAGTTGTGGTATGAACACTAGTACAGAACCTTTATAGTTCGTCCAAATGTTGATTTCCACGTCTTTTTTATAGTTTCAATTCAAGTTGGATAAAATCACAAGTAGTCCATGTATCTCAACAATTTCCCTTCCTTTTCATGTGCCCAATTGATCTCAATCAGGTGATCATCGATTCATCGTATTGAAGAAAGCACAGTTTTTCCCCCCCTACCATGAGGCGCCATGGCTCTGGCTCAACTGACTCCAACAACTCAGCACTAGTCGACACAGAAAGAAACAATGGCGGCGGTGGAGGAGGTGGCAGTGGCAGCCATACTCTCCCAAGTATCCAGCCATTCGCGCCAGCAGCAATGCAGCACTGCGAGAGCAATGCTGCCTACTTCTCGTGGCCGACCTCGAGCAGGCTTAACGATGCTGCTGAGGAGAGGGCAAACTACTTTGCCAACTTGCAGAAGGGTGTTCTGCCGGAGACTCTAGGTAGGTTGCCGCAGGGGCAGCGGGCAAACACGTTGCTCGAGCTCATGACCATAAGGGCATCCCACAGCAAGATCTTGAGGTGTTATAGCTTGGGGACTGCGATTGGGTTCCGAATTCGGAGAGGTGTGCTGACGGATATACCAGCCATCCTTGTGTTTGTTTCCAGGAAAGTTCATAAGCAGTGGCTCTCCCCTATTCAATGCCTGCCCAATGCTCTCGAGGTAAGCAACAAAAGCATGTTTTTGGTTTCCAATTAGACCACATTACATAGCATGTTAGCAGTCTGAGCATTATGAACCAGAATGGACCACGTTATGTACCATAGCGGTAGAACTTCTTGTTCGACGCTATAGGTGTATGGATTATTCCGAATAACGAAGCATATACTGGAAACTTGAGCATCATAGACTGGAATGGACTAGATTGCCTATGAGCCTACCCCATGTTCGAGGCTGTTGATGCACGAACTGGTTAGCATATTTCTGAAGCTTGAGCACTATAGACCAGAATGGACTGCAGAGTTTTTTTGTTAGATGCTCTGGATCCATGGATTAGACTCAGTCACATACTATATATACAAGACATTTGAGCATTATAGACTAGAAGGGGCCAGACCATGTTAGACTTCTCGTTAGAAGTCAGGTATATCTAAGAACTAGACTGAATTACAGAGCATATATCAGAACCTTGAGCATTATGGAGGCTAGAATGGATCACACTATGTACTATGTTATGAATCCCTTTGTTAGAGGCAATGGATCCATGAATTTGACCGAATCATAGACTATATATCAGCAACTTAGAGCATTATAGACCATAGTAATATGATCAACTGTGCACATCTTTATTTATTAACTATTGACTGAGGATTGCCATGATTGTGTAGGGACCGGGAGGCGTGTGGTGTGATGTAGACGTGGTTGAGTTCTCGTACTTTGGCGCACCTGAGCCAGCTCCGAAAGAGCAGTTGTACACAGACATCGTGGACGATTTACGAGGGGGTGATCTCTACATTGGTTCAGGTTCTCAGGTAACTTCAACAAAGCAAAATGCTCTTTTCTTGCAGCTAATCCTTATCGGGCACGGACTATCACAAGGGATCTCATGTCAAGTTTCCATCTGTTACTTTTTTTTCCCACAGGTTGCAAGCCAGGAGACCTATGGGACTCTAGGAGCCATAGTGAGGAGCCAAACGGGGAATCGACAAGTTGGTTTCTTGACCAATAGGCACGTTGCAGTAGACTTAGACTACCCTAATCAGAAAATGTTCCACCCTTTGCCGCCAACTTTAGGCCCTGGAGTTTACCTTGGTGCTGTAGAGAGAGCCACCTCTTTCATCACTGATGACCTCTGGTATGGCATCTTTGCTGGTTCAAATCCTGGTAAGCTTTTATTCTCTTTGCAGAAGGGTGTCCTACCAAAAGTTGCTGTCTTAGCAGTCTGAATGTGAGCTCGTCACGCTCTACATTCGAAACTTAGGACCAACATTGCGTATTAGAAGTTACTTAGATTGTCCAGTTGAGAGTGTACATAATTGACTGCATCTTACCACACCAACATTTCTATTCTGCAGAGACATTCGTGAGAGCAGACGGAGCATTCATCCCATTCGCCGAAGATTTCGACCTATCAACCGTGACAACATCCGTCAAAGGCCTTGGTGAGATTGGCAGCGTGAAGATCATCGACTTGCAGTCTCCCATCAACACCTTAATCGGCAAACAAGTGACCAAAGTTGGCAGGAGTTCAGGTTTTACAACGGGGACCGTGCTAGCCTATGCATTGGAGTACAACGACGAGAAAGGCATATGCTTTCTGACCGATTTCCTCGTGGTGGGAGAGAATCAACAGACGTTTGATCTCGAAGGAGACAGCGGGAGCTTGATCGTGATGAAAGCTGACGCAGAGAAAAATGGAGACAAACCTCGACCCATTGGGATCATATGGGGTGGCACGGCGAACCGTGGGAGGTTGAAGTTGAAAGTTGGGAGGCCGCCGGAGAATTGGACGAGTGGGGTTGATTTGGGGAGGCTTCTGAGCCTGCTGGAGCTTGATCTCATTGCTACTAATGATGGGCTTAAAGGTTAGTTTGCTTGTTACCCTCTCCCTTACATATGACAACTCAAGCAACGAGGAAATGTTCGATTCTGGATCATATACTACTTATTAATACACTCACTCAAACAAAAGTCACTATATATGGAGATTGAAATTTGCACAAGTCCGAATATCATAGGTTTAACAAATGAGGTAGCCAGGATTCGAACCAAAATTCTCTACATCTTATTTATATTTGAGCTCACTTGTTCGAGTCCCCATGACACTCAATACTAACTGTTGTATGTATTTAAAAGCACATGATATAGTGGACATGTACTAACTTTAAACTCGTTAGTTGACTTTCGTTTGAGACGTGTAAGGAAGTGATTAAGTATTATACATAAATTTCATCTAACAACTCCGAGTCATTAGGACAAGTTGGTTTACGACGCCTTGTTTATAATTTCCAAATCTCAATCAATTTTGTTATCTTCGAGCGGCAATTCACGAGCAAAAATTTCTTCTAACATCTCGAGTTATTAGGAGAAATTGGTTTATCTCATCGATTTCAAATCTCATTGTTATCTTGCAGCTGCAATTCAAGAGCAAAGAGCTGCATCAGCAACGGGAATGGGCTCAACGGTGGGAGACTCGTCTCCTCCGGTCGAATCACTGGGCCTCCAAATCCATCATCACATTCCTCTCGAAGTCGATTGCAACAGCCACCCTCCGCCGGAGGCCCAACCCACATCGCTAATTACCGAAACAGAGTTCCGCCTCGAGCAGGACGAGGAAGCTGTCAAAGGAGGAGCTCCACCAAACGTGGAGCATCAGTTCATCCCGAGCTTTCCTGGTGAGTCCGCGTTGCATCAGGAGAACCAAACGGGTGAAGATCGCAAGCCGACGGAGAATCTGGCTTCGTTGTGGAATGACGGTGGGGGATCAGGTGGAGGAGGAGAAGAGATTATCACTGTTTCTTTGGGGTTGTTGGGTGATAGTAATGAAGGCAGCAAAAGGAAGCGTTGTGATGATGATGTTGGAAATGGGGATCAAGAGCTCGGCTGAAATTAAGGATGAGAGTGGAGGGTTTCCGTTTGTGGGTTATGCTGCTGAATCCGTTTTGGATAAGGATTGTGTTTGTAAAGAGAACATGGGTGGATCGAGCTCAATTTTCATGGTTTTCATTAACCTCTGTGAGTTGAAAATATTTTTATGTGAGTGATGTTTGGTTTTAACTTGTAAGGTGGAATACAATATAGGTTTGGAAGGGTAGTTTATATGAGGTATGACATGAGTACATCATCATCATCATCTTATCTTTAGTTTCATTGGTAATACACCACTTGACTAAATGTGTTGTAATAAACTAACAATTTTCATAACCTCGATGAACGAAGTTGTGTGGCCACGAGGATCAAAAGAGGGGGCAAAGAGATGAACGTCTTGCACAGCCGTCGGCTTCTTTGTTCTTGCATTGGGTTCGCTCTAATGGGAAATCTATACTTTATATGTATTCACCATATTTTATAACATTTTCCAAACTCTGACAAATAAACTTTTTTTTATGGTCAATTAATTAATATTAGTCATATTATGCATTTGTTTCATAATTTTAATACTAACGCTTGTTATTATTATTGTTTATAACTGATTTGTTATTGTGAGAGACAATCTTTATTTGTTTCTTTTTGTAACCGATCAATTGAGTCTTGAGAGGTTATTGTCTAACTATTACAATAAATATGATCGGATGCATGGTAAGCAAGATTCAATTGCATTTAACCTATAGTTGTCGTTATGAAAACAACTAATGGTGCAGTTATTTTTCCTTTATTAAAAAAGAACTGATATATATTTAATTGATTCTTTTTTTTTTTAACAATGAGATTTGATTTGCTCGATTATCAGCAAAACCAATCCGGTTTACTACTCCTAATTCCAATCACATGCATTATGCAATAGGTGCATACTGCCACTGGACAGCCTTAGTTATGAAGATAAAAGCCCAATAATAATTCTGTTACAAACATAAAGCCCAAATATATATTGAAAGGCGAAAAATGATGTTCGCCGTTGCCGGGGATCGAACCCGGGTCACCCGCGTGACAGGCGGGAATACTTACCACTATACTACAACGACTTTTGGTTTTAGGCCCAAGTTTAATAATAAAGTAATTAACTTCAATGAACCATTCTGCTTCCCACACATCCTTGCCTGGCGATTTGCGAAGTATCTGAATCCAGCGAATCGAGTAGGGTTTATCTCGTTTAGGTTTTTCGCTCTGTTCACTGCAGGAAGCCGCCCGAAATCCGACTCTCCTCCGATGGCGAAACCATCCCGAGGCCGCCGCCCTTCGCCGCCCTCTGGTTCGGCGTCGTCGAGGTCCCGCTCCCGTTCTTCTGGCTCTGATTCCAGCTCGCGCTCTCGTTCCGTCTCCCGTTCGAGATCTCCCTCGCGGTCGAGGTCGATCTCCTCTTCTTCTCCGTCTCGCAGTGCCAGCTCCGGCAGCCGCAGTCCCCGTCCTCCACGAAAGAGGTAACCGCAGTTTCTTCTCGCCCGTTCCTATTTCTGTCGCTAGCACTGAGTTCCTTTGAATTTCGCAGTTCCTCTACCTTGCATGAGTGTATTGGTTACGCGCATTGAAGCTTTAGAAGCATTCCCCTACTTCTACAGCATCGTCTTGATTTGTTTTATGTTTTTGTTCACTTGCACAGCCCTGCCGAGGTAGCTAAACGAGGTCGCAGTCCGCCTGCACAAGTGAAGAAGGCATCTCCGCCACCAAGGTCAGTCTGCTTACCAGTGCTTCAACTGTGGATAGTTTCATTAGCATTTGCAAGCTTCCCTCGTTAATCATTATGCTGCGGGAGTCTGAGAATCCTTACTCGAGGCGGAATACAATTGTCCAAATTTCCAGTAGACATGACATTAGGACAATGTAATAGTTTTGAGTTTTCCTTCTGGTGATATGTGATTTCGTAAGTTTTGTTTAATTAACCATTCTGTGAACGTGTTCTCTACCAATGGTTACTTGTTGGTATTAGGAGCCAGCAGTTAGGTACTCGTATAGTCTCTCTGGTTAAGCTTTTCCCAGAAAGGAAGATGTCCTTTTGAGAACCTGTTGGATGGCTCACGTTTCCAGTCTAATGCTCTATTACGCAATGACTCCTTTGTTGATTGATTCTGATGGAAGCTTACCTGGAGTTATTACTTTATTTCTACCAGGAAAGCCTCTCCAGTTCGCGAGTCTCTTACTCTTCATGTTGACTCGCTGAGTAGGAATGTGCATGTTGGCCATTTGAGAGAAATATTCAGTAAGCTCCTCATCTTCCAACTATCTGTTCTACCCCATGGATTTCCACTTGAAAGCATTTGAAACATGATTATTCTGTTCATTGTGTTTGTATGTTGGTGTCAAATGAGCTTCTTAGTACGCTTGAAGTCAGACTTAGATGGTGGTAAATTGTTGCAGCTATGATTTATATTAGTGGTGGTTGTTCATGTCTTTCTTTCTCTTTTGACTCAGGTGTCTATGGTGAAGTCGCGAATGTGGATCTTGCAATGGACCGGGTTGTAAGTCCATAGAACCATGTAAAAAATGTGGTGAAAATGCATAACCTTGATGCTAAGCCTGTTCCTTAACTTTATTATTTTGTTCAACTGTGTAGTTTAATCTTCCTAGAGGATTTGGATACGTGGAGTATAAGGTCCGAGCAGATGCCGAGAAGGCTCTGTTATACATGGATGGGGTATGTTTCACTAATAATGAGTAGATATTTATTTCTAGGATTTAACTAATATATGCTAAGATTTTCTCTCAATTTCTTGGCCAGGGTCAAATTGATGGTAAAATTGTGCGAGTTCGTTTTACATTACCCCCACGGCAACAGAAGGTTTCACCACCTGCAAAGCCTGTAGCCAGTGCTCCAAAAAGAGAAATACCAAAAACTGATGGTGCCAGTGCAGATGTTGACAAGGATGGACCAAAACGTCCACGAGAACGTATGCCTTGTTTGAGATAAAATTCTGATGCAAAGTTGCAAACATTTCTTTATCTTTGTTCTGTATCCTAATTACAAATGATTTTGTGATTTCCTTGGAAACTTGTAGTCTCGCCAAGAAGAAGATCTCCTATTGGTCGAAGAGGCGGATCTCCTAGACGCCCACCACCGGATTCACCTCCACCACGCAGGCGTCTTGATTCTCCTCCTCGTCGCCGCGTGGACTCACCACCTTTTCGTCGGGGGGAGACCCCTCCAAGACGTAGGCCTGCGTCCCCAGGGGCTAAAGGTCGTTCTTCTTCTCCTCCACCAAGGCGATATAGGTCCCCTCCAAGGTATGCTTGGTACTTTCTGCATGACCCGTTAATTGTTGTGAAGTAATTCAATCCTGGTTACTAACTGTTGCCTATCTAGGAACTCTCCAAGGAGAGTACGTGGAAGTCCCGTTCGTAGGCGTTCTCCTCTACCTCCAAGAAGGCGGTATGTTCATCTGAACTACTGTATTTCTGTTATCATATTTTCAACAACTTCACAGGCAATAAGTTTTTCAAGTTGCTGTCTTTTAACGGGTAGTGCATTTACTAAGTGTTTCTTTTTCATACATAAGGTCACCACCTCCTAGACGTGCCCGATCTCCTCCAAGAAGGTCTCCACTTCGCAGACGAAGCCGCTCACCAATTCGTCGGCCTTTGCGCTCGCGATCTAGATCGCTCTCTCCTCGGAGGTAAGGAGTACATCGATATTAAATGTTTGTCCGCATGCTTTTCTCATTACTGTTGTCTGTAATATCTGTTGTGCATTATCGATAAGTTTATTTCTCTTCTGTAAATCTTGGAATGGGAGCTTCTGGTTGTTGCATTGTTGGGAATTCTTTAATGAACCATGCATAGCTTGTTTACATTTCTGATGGTGGTATGTTGCTGACTTACAGAGACCGAGGACCAGCTGCAAGACGTGGAAGGTCATCATCTTACTCTGATTCGCCTAGCCCAGTGCGCAAGGTCTATACTTTGTCATTTGTGTCTAGTTGATTTAGTGAGACCAGGTACAACTACTGGGTTATGCTTTCTAACTGTGCTGCCCTCTTCATAATAGGTGCCTCGTAAGATCTCAAGGAGCCGCAGTCCTAAAAGGTAAAAGCTGTTTTCCATGATAAGAATTCTCCCCCATGCCCATATTCATCTTAGGCCAGTTAGTTATGTCGTGGAGAACTCCTTCAATTTTTTTGAAGACCACTATTGAGATCCTAGGGTTTTCTCTTCTCCTATCAGCAATATTGAATAACACTACTGATGGCGATGAGCTTTTCCGTTTCATTCTTATACACAGGCCCTTGAGGGGTAGAAGCAGCAGTAACAGCAGCAGCAGCAGTTCACCGCCTCGAAAGCCATAGGCTCTTCATTCTTGCTAGTTTTGTTGCCATCTTTTCAGGGTTTCGTTCCATCGATGGTAATGAGTTTGGTGCAATGATGAATATCGACTCTCCTTAGCTCTTGTTACTAATTGGGGACTCGTTAGCTGTGTTACTCTGATCTGCATTTTGTAATCATATTTTATGTTACTCTAATTGCTAGTTTCTGTTGCTTATTGGAATTTGTTAGTTTGTATTAGTTTGTATACTGTCATCGTTTTGCTGCTTATAAGACGGAGCTCCTGAATTCATGCTTATTGCGTTAGTAATTGCTGCTGGCGTTATACATCGCTGAGGCAAGTTTGTAGCTGTCGTTAAACAAGAGAGTGATATACTAATAAATGTGACATGCCAAACTATTTTTTGTATAATCTATCAAATTATTATTATATTCTATGAGGGTCCAAAATATGTGCCTAGCTGCATTTAGGCGCTGGGAAATACCGAAATGCCTGGTCTAGAGTTTCGGCAATGAGTTAGGTATCCAAGGCGGCGTGATGATAAGGTGAGGTGACACCTAGGTGTTGCACAATCTGAGGGTACTACTCATCACTGATGATTTAGTCTATTAAGAAATCATATTATAGTGATGATTTAGTCTATTAAGAAATCATATTACCATAATAGATTGCGGGCGAAAAAGATTTAGTCTATTAAGAAATTATATTGCCATAATAGATTGCGGGCGATTTTTCATAAAGTCATTTTCTTTTGATTTTGAAGACTACAAATCATAGATTCGCCCCAAGGCTATTTCTCCAACGATGATAAAGTTTATTGATCATATTCTCCATCAATGATTAACTCCACTAATTGTTGACTCGGGCATATTTTATTAGGATGTCATTTTTCGTAATTTGTAGGGCGATTATTCAAAAGGCCATTATCCTTTGATATTGAAGGCTACAGAACACAGATTCGGCCTGAGATTATTCTTCACCGATGATTAAGTCTACTAAGCAACGATTTCAGCGGATTTTTTTCCGGATCCATTTTTAGCAAATTCCAAAGGGGGTACCATTACAGATTTTGTGAGATTTTTCGGAAGGTCACAGGGATGGCAAAAATATTTGAAACCGTGGATATCCGCCTGAATCCGACCTAATCGGGTAGGGTAAATCACGAACACGAATAATTTTTAGTGTGTACGGGTAAAACCCGAATCCGAATGTTGCGGGTAATGGGCGGGCAAGGTTTTCTCACTATCCCGCCCGAACCTGCCCGATTATACTCATGCATATGTATTTTGTCAGATTAAGGCAACAAAAGAAGACGAGACCCTGTGATAAGTTCTGATATCTGAGCACCAGAAACTCTCCCTTAAACCTGGCAATCGAGTCGGGTTGTGTAATTTTGGGTTGGGGCCTTGGGTACGGGTCGGGTCATGTTGGGTTGGTTGATTTCGGGTGAGGTTATCGTTCATTTCGGATTATGAGCGCTCTCAGAAACAATATCAAACATGCTTCATATTTAAATTAACATATTCTGAAATCCCAACACATGTCATTTCGGGTCATGACAATAGTTTACCTAACACATGTCAATTAACATATTCTGAAATACTCCCATGCCAATGAAATGAAACACATATTGGACAAATCGTCAAAAAATAATAACAAGAGTAATACTACAACAAGAAACACATTATATTTGATTATCCTTAAACTTCAAATATATCTTTCAAATTCTTGTGAATTATTTTAAACATCTCAGCAATTTATGAGTGATTTTATCATTTTTTGAGTGACATATGAAATGGAACGGGTCTAACCGGTCAACCCACTAACCCACCCAACCCGACCCAAAAAATCACGGTTTAATCGGTGTCGGGTCATTTGAATTTTGGGTTATAAAATTTTCTATTTTTCGAGTGACTTGGGTGGGGTCGTAAAACCTAGCTTGCTTGAGGCAGAGCTAGTGTTTCTTATACTGTTGAAGGGTGAAAAAGCACTCACTCTAAAGAGACTACGAGCATGTTTGGAAGTTGGTATTCTCTAAATTGATGTATTTAATCAATGTATGCATTATAATTAGATGTATTGCTTAAATGTATGAATTTGAAAAATACATTGTTTGTAGATTGAATGATTTTGGTGGTAACTCAAAGAATAAGGAAGAAAAAGCAAGTAACAATCCCTCAAACACAATCACTGCTAAAAACTGAGATTTACAATCATTCATAATGAATGATTCTGGTGGTCCCATATGTTGTTCAAATACAAGTATTCTGTTTCATTTTAAGACAAAAAAACGACGAATTCTTCTGATTACATGTATTGGCCAAATACATCCTCTGAAATCCCAACTTCCAAACGACCCTACGGGACCTAACTCTTGCTTTCATTGCTATATAACGGGGAAATTTTCCTTCTCCTTATCTGCAACTACTAAGTAGGAGTGGCTATTTGGACCGGGACCGGATGAAAAACCGGAAAGCGGACCGTATAACCCGGACCGAGACCGGACCGGGACCGGATAGTAAACAATCCAATCCAATTTTTGGGCTTAGATTTGAGGTAAAAACCGGATAAAGACCGGATAAGAGAGCTCAACACCCAAAACTTAAGGGTAATTTGCATAAACGGTCACAAACCTTTGCACTTAGTACATAACTTAACCAACTCCTCACCCTTTTAGGCCTTAGGCCACTCAAATTCCCACAATTTCAATATAAAATCAAGACCGAATTGGGACCGGACCGGGTCAAGACCGGACTGGATCAAGACCGGACTGTATCCAATCCAATCTTCAGTCCTTATATTTTCAAAAAAACCGGACTGGACCGGATCAATTTGGGCCAATTTAACCGCACCGGACCGTATAGCCACCCCTACTACTAAGGACCTCTCTTGTAGACGACAACCATACGAGATCTTCCTTCGAATAAAAAAAATATACTCGAGATAAAATGCTAGTGATTAATATGCACCCAATGCCAAATATAAATCCCATTATCCTACCTAGGGGTGGCTATACGGTCCGGTCCGGTTAAATTGGTCCAAATTGATCCGCTCCAGTCCGGTTTTTTTGAGAATATAAGGACCGAATATTGGATTGGATACAGTCCGGTCTTGATCCGGTCCGGTCCCAATTCGTTCTTGATTTTATATTGAGATTGTGGGAATTTGAGTGGCCTAAGGCCTAAAAGGGTGAGGAGTTAGTTAAGTTTTGCACTAAGTGTAAAGGTTTGTGACCGTTTATGCAAATTACCCTTAAGTTTTGGGTGTTGAGCTCTCTTATCCGGTCTTTATCCGGTTTTTTACCTCAAATCTAAGCCCAAAGATTGGATTGGATTGTTTACTATCCGGTCCCGGTCCGGTCTCGGTCCAGGTTATACGGTCCGGTTTCCGGTTTTTCATCCGGTCCCGGTCCAAATAGCCAGCCCTAATCCTACCCATTTTACCTTGGGGTCGTTTGGATGAGAGATTTTAATAAGGAGGGATTTTGATTAAAATCTCTCGTTTAAAATACTAGGGAATTTGTATGCAGGATTTAATAGAAATAACTCGTTTGGATAAAACGCAGAATTTTAACCTTAAAACTCAAATTACAATAATATCCTTTGTCATCTTCCCTCATGTTCATCTTCGTTTGTGATACAACTAGCAATCAATTGTTCTTCCCCTGCTTCTACACCAATTAATCATACTACTCTTCTTATCTGCTTCCATCACAAACCCATAATCCCATTATTGTTTGCAGGTAAAAGAAGAAGATAACAAACTCTGAATCGGAGACAAATAAGAACCCCAATCCAAAATTGCATATACATCTCACTCCCTTCCGATTCCAAACGACCCTAGCTGGTTACCGCTTTTGTATTCCACTTCATATGCCTCGATTTAGCTAGCCAATCGATTGAAACCCAGATTGGGTGATTCCTCCTTCTCTATCGCAATTCGCATCTGACCCCCTTCCCCGATATTCCACCCGACCCATCAGATTCCCTCACTTATTCTCGACTCTTAACCAAGCACATCCAAACAGCAAATTGGCGCCGACGTGGGGATGTTTGCGGCGCGACCACCGACCAGTAAATCGGCAGGCGGACCTGAGGCCTGCTTGTCGTCTTTTGGAGCTCTTCGATCGCAGCCGTAGTGGCGGCGACTGGGGGTCAATGGCATAGGACAACGGGGAAGGTTGACAGATGTGGCGGTGGTTGGGGAAATCTGGATGCTGCTCAGGATGCTCTGCGTCTGCGGTTGAGGGTGGAGTGATTGGAGTAATAAGGTCGGTCGGAGAAGAAGGAAGAAGAGTCGAATGAAGGGTAGGTTTTGGAATAAATAAAAGAAGAACGAGAGATTTAAAAATAGCCGATGGTGATTAGCTATTTCTAAAACCCACGATTGAGAGTTTTTAAAATTCCTAATTGTAAAATCCCTCATCTTTCCCAAACGCATAATTGTATTAAAATCCTGCAGAATGAGAGATTGTTTTAAAATCCCTCACAAATCACTCATCCAAATCTCTAATCCAAACGGCCCCTAAAACCACATACACGCATTTTGTAAAAACACCTTGCACAATAAATGACATCCGCCAAAACGGATCCTTAATTATTTTTTCAAAAAATCAAATTACTCAACTTAGTCCACTCTTGCCAACTAACGGCGAACAGCGAACAATTATTCTTACGGCCAACAAACTGAATCAAAGCCTTGGAGTTTAACATAGAACAATCGAGATTTTAAACAACAGCGATCAGTTGGTGGTGACGGCGGTGGCGCCGACAGAGGGAGCAATTGCATGGTAATGAACGCCGACGACGTCATTCCAGTGGGGAGGAGGGTTCTTGAAGACTTGCTTAAGCGCCATATGCTCTTTGATATTGAACTTCTTGAACTTGGGTGACTCGTTGGTCTGACCGATCAATTCGGGCATCGGCTCAACCCACTTCTCTTCTGCTACCATGTAACCGTACACGAAGGCGTATCGGCTTTTCCCCGGCTGCGCCAATATTCTGTGGGTTGGGCTCTTCATCTTGTCGTTGCTCAGTGCCTGCATGCGTCACATATATCATTAAGTTTAAATTTTTTAATCACGCAATCGCAGAAATCAGAACCAGAATAATCAGAAATCTTCAGTGGAATTTTAAATCTAAAAATCAACCGATAGAAAAGTTAACCATATCAACACTTTTCTTTTCTTTGATAATTTTTATTTTTCGATTACAGACGACACGTTACTTACTGAAAGTAAACTCATCAATAATGAACACTAGTGAGAACAAAATCAAAACATATAATGAGCAAAAATAATATGCCACCGACAATTTTATTTTCCTAAACGTTTGGTGTTTGAACTAACAAACGATTATTACTCACTAATAAGGTGGTTATAATTTTAAAATTTGTTAAAC